TCTTCTCTCGAACGTATCAAATCGAACCGAGTGCTTCAATCATCTCTGCCTTAGTCTACTGAGTGCCTTTACCAATTCAACAAGCTTTGAAGGGCTGAAAATTTAAAAGATTAGAAAAAAAAATATACCTAGGTGTATCAATTAGATGTACCTAATTAGGTGTAGCCCCTGACAATGTGTTTAATTAAACAAATTAAGCATATAGTCAAGGATAAATAATATATATCCACCTATGATCCACCTAAGTGGTTTAAAAATATGCACAGCCTAAGCTATAATGCATAAAGATCACATAGCAAATAACTTTGACAACAAAGTTTGTTGCATAATGAAAACGACATCCGTGGTATAAAATCCGAGCGAAAATATCAAACTTTTCCAACCTAACCACCTCCAGATCTCGCCGGAGCCACCCCTCCTCGCTGCCACCCTATTTTGACCACACATCATGCGTTGTTCTACACCACCTTGTGCGAAGCCGCTGCCTCCATCCGCTTCATCTCGATACCATGATGCTCACCACCCCCTCCTCAAAGCCTAGGTCATGGGAGTTACTGGGAGTTACTGCTAACGCCACCGCCGTTGCCACGCGCGTGGGGAGAAGCCACAGATTGGGTTCTTTGTTGCTCAAGGACCGTGGAACCAGCCTCCCCTCGCTGCTTCACCGCCTCTCTCACTGCTGGCATAGCTGAACCATCATTGGGCGTCCTTCTACTAGGAAAAACCAACCATTTTTTCTTAAAAAAATAATAAATCATAAGATTAGGGGGGATAGGGATACCAAAATGTTTTTAACTTTATATTTTATAATGTGAATGACATGTAGCTATGTAGGTTCCACTGACACATAGGTGTTGATGTGGCATGCCATGTAAGTGCACAGAGTAGGTTGACGCCCGTTTAGACCTATATGATACCCAAGACAAGTTTAAGCATCCGGAGATATAATTTGAAAGTTTAGGTATCTGGATGACATACTCGTATAAGTTTAGGATAAACCGGTACACTTTATTCCGCAATAAATCAGTGGATGCAAATGTAGTAACTTTTCAAATAAGCTCTAGTTCCAACAGATCGCCTTTAGAAATCTACTTCTATAACTCGCAAAGATGCATATGTTAACTCGCAAATGAAAATGCATATGGAATTATGGGTGAAGATGCGTATGTTAACTCACAAATGAAAATGCAACATTTCCATACATTTCGACATATACATTTCAATATGGTTGCAAATCAATATTCTAGTTTCTATCAAAAATACAGATAGATTTGTGGTCCTTCGATGAATATATAACGGTCCATATTTCATCCGATCTGTACGACTGTGCCTATCCTGACCATCACAGTAACTAACCCTCATAAACCAAGCTGCCCATTCACCGGCACAGTACTCAGTACACCTCCTTTACCTACGAGCATCCTCTCCGTTGCCTTATTATCAATGTCGATGATGCATGCCCACCAAGGAGGCAAGGACTATCCACGGCACAACGCTATTTTTTTAAAAGAAAGGCAAGAAGATTACATTATTTTTACTATTATAAAAATTGAATATATTTTTGTCGGTACTTTAGTACGTTATCCGTATTTGAGCCGGTTTTTAAAATAGTTCGCTTTTGGAAATACAAATCCGTGTTTAAATTAGATTTTAAACTCATTTGCTTTTGGAAATACAAAAGAAGTCGTATAAGAAATCTCTTTTAAAAAACTCCGTACGCTAACTTGAGATGAAAGTCGAACTCCTAATTGCGGCTCATTATTTTCTTAAAAAAAATTTCAAACGAATTCACACAGTGAATTTTATTTTAGCTAAACTGTATAACGATAATAATAAGATTAAAATAGCATCCACCCGTTGTAACACACAGGAATTTTTCAAGTATATGATAAAGCAGGAAAGCACGACATTAATTTTGGATTCGGTTTGCTGCCTCGCCTCCTCTACAATCTTCGGTAAAATCTATTTATTACGCATACAGATATGGATTTTCATCGCTTGAGAAGATGTCCCTCATTACTTACATGTCATCTAAATAACAATAAAAAATCTGAAAAAAATAGTAGTATAAATTAATATAAAATATATCACTCCACAAACATGTAAGACCAAATTTAACTTCTAAAATATGCAAAAAAAAAGAACAAATTAAATTAAAAATAATTATCGTACATTCACAACTATATTTCTTATTCTTGTTACAACACATACATGTTAAATTTCAACTTGCATATTTGTATAGTGATATATTTCATATTAATATATCTTGTCAGTTTTCTTCAATTTATCTAGTGATTATTTATGTGACATGCATAAAATGAGTAGATATCGAGTAGATATCCCCTCAAAGGATGAAAACACTCTACATATACATAGAACATAATTTCATATGTTGAATAACATTAACATTAATGGGTCATCCATGACATCGGCGGACTTTTTTCTTTTTAATCCGTCCTTACGGTCGTCAGGGTTCTACAAATCTCTTGCTGTCTTTCCTGCGCAGACCATCCATTTGCTAATATTAAACAGTTTTGGTATTTATCAGCAGCCTGATTTCTACTTATTTATCTGTCACCTAAATTTGTACGAGCTTATTTACTAAACTTTCACAATATATAGAAAAAACAACAACTTCAGTATAATGAAGCACATTTTTTTTACTTTCTTTGTTTTTTTTTTGTTTTCTGGACGTATTATTATGCTTCTGTAATTCATAATTTTCAGTTTCATACCGGTAAGAATTTAGCACAAAAGTTTTTTTTTCTTTTAGACATTATTTGCTTCACCTCAATAAAAAAATATACATAAGTAGTGTGAGTTGTTGGTAGTGATCTAGTGTTACGTTTCTCGAAAAATATGTCAGCCTTACTGTTTCTTTTTACCATTTTAGTCACTTCTTCCCTTATGTGATATCAATTGCTATCTCTCTTATACGATAGTATGTTTCTATATATCTTATTTCTTATACCGAGTACCTATACTTCTTTTATATATATAGTGTGTATTAAAAAATACAATTTAATTACTGACATTTACAGTGTATTTATATTTTCAAATTTATAGTGTAACAACAATTTAAATATGGGTAATTTACAATGTTTGATTTGACCTTTTTTTAAAAAAATGTGACATCATAAACTTAGCTAGTCCCAAAGGTAATTGATATAGATAAGAAAAAAAATCAGTTGTTTGACAAATAAAAAATCCCTATTTTTAGGGGCTGAAGTTGGGTCGAAGACGTTCGGATCATAGTATTCTTATATCCTAACCCTTATTTTTAATTCAAATTTAGAATTGGGTATAGATAGTGCTAATAACATATGACCCATCCTACATTCTATCATATCCCATATTTTTTTCCTCCGAATTGGATAGGGAACGGATATATGAGGGGTCCCTTAATTAATTAAATAAATAGGAAGGTTGCCTTAAAAAAGAAATGCAAGGGATCGAAGGCAGTATCTAACTAACCTGGCAAATAAACGAGAGTTTGAAGATAAAAAAGTGTTAAATGCTAATACATCAAGGAAAATTATGCAATATTACTTGTGAGCTCGTAAAATAATAATTAATCGATATGCATATGTTTGATAATATGGGATATACGGGCTGATTCAACTCTTGAAGTACTCTAACCCTATAAAAATTTTTTGAATTCGAATTTGTATAGTCTCCTATATCCTTCTCACCAGCCTTGGGTTATGCAGACGAGTGGAAAATACCCGTCCCGTTTTCACCCATACTATAGTTGTCAAACATAATTCCCTCCATTCCAAAATACCAGACTCAACCACTCTTAATCTAAAGACCAAGAAATATTTATTATTACCTTATTGTTTGGATCACCCAAATAAATATAAAGCATGTACCCAATAGAATTAAAAATCTTGAGAATGAAGGATTTAAATAATAATAATTTAATAGAAAAGAGGTGCTAGTTAATGTCATGCATTTATCCATGCCTTATATTATGAAACGTTAAAAAAAATAGTTGTGCATTATACTCCGTCTGTCCTGTAATGTTTGTCGTTTCTAACAGGCTTGTGAAAATTAAGGAAGCTATGAAAGTACATATTTGCCTATGTGCCTTCTCCTCGTCAACACGTGAATGCGTGATACACGCGGGAGAAATCCCCAACACTGGAAGAAAGAGGCGTCTCCACCCCTAACACCGGAAACGCCGGCCGCCGCGCCAGCCGCCGGGGCTCACCCCTAAGACGTCGGCGAGGCCCTCCTCCTGCTCCAAGCACCCCGGAGGAGGGAGATCCCGCATCGGCTTCATCATCGGAAGAAAACAAAAGCGCCGCCGCTACCGCCGCCATCCCAATTGGTCGGAGCCGCCGGCACCCTCCCCCAACACTGCTGCGGCACCGGCGGCATTCCTCTCGAGCCGGTAAACGCTGTCGCCGCCACCTGTACTCGCCGGAGCCGCCGCCGCCACCCCTCCTTGCCAGAGCCGTCGGCGGCGCCATTCTCCTAAGCCGCAGACGCTCTCTCCCGACGCCGCTGTGGCACCAGTGACGTTCTTTCAAGCCCCAGCATCCCCAAGACACTGGCGAGTCCTCCTCCTGCGCCGCTGCTCCCACTCCTGAAGTCGTTGCCTAAGCTCACCGCCACGACAAGCTGCGACCATGAATGGTGGGGTGGGTAGGCGGCGGAAATTCCTCACGCCATGGAAGAAGATGGCGCAGGAAGGCATCAGCGGCGGCGGATCATCGGCCGATGTCACGGCGCCGTTCCCCTAGCAGCCTCATCCTCAGGTGGCGGAGGTAGACACTCAGCAGGCTAGCGACCAGTGGAGGATGACAGAGGGATAAAGATGGAAACGGTTTTTCTGATTGTACTACGACGTCAAACATTTAGACTCCTTTTAAAATGAACTACAGTGTCAAATATAACGGGACAGAGGGAGTATTATATTATGGAACGGAGGGAGTAATAATAAGCTACAGTAGTAAAAAAAATTCTTGACCCCTATAAATAGTGCAGCTACTCTCACTTCCCCTAGCTAGGTAGTGCAACACACACCTCTAGCTTCTAGCTAGCTTGCTTCTCCGAGCATGGCCGCCACCACCACCACCATGTCCTCATCCATGGCGGCGTCGCTGGTGACGTCGCTGCGCTCCCTCTCGGCACACGCCCTAGTGCCACTCGTCGCGTCGGCGCTCCTCTTCGTGGTGGCCGTCGTGCTGCGGCGGCGGCGGCGGCCGGTGTACCTGCTGAACTACAGCTGCCACCTCCCGGACGTGGACCGGAAGGTGAACCTGGAGGTGTGCGAGTACTTCGGCCAGCGCTGCCGCCACTACTCCGACGACACCGCCGACTTCATGCGGCTCATCTACCGCAAGTCCGGCCTCGGCCAGGAGACGTACGCGCCGCCCTTCATCTTCTCCGGCGAGTTCCAGAAGACGCAGGCGTTCGCGGTGCAGGAGGCGGAGGAGGGGCTGTTTGCCACGGTGGCGCACCTGCTGGCGAAGTCCGACGTGCGCCCGCGCGACGTCGGGTTCGTCGTCGTCGCCTGCTCCATGTTCTCGCCGGCGCCGTCGCTGGCGTCGATGATCGTGCGGCGGTTCGGGATGCCGCCGGGGACGAGGACGTACAGCCTCGCCGGGATGGGGTGCAGCGCCGGCACGGTGGGGATCGACATGGCGGCGAGGGCGCTGCGGGTGTCGCGGCGGGGCGGGTACGCGCTGGTGGTGGTGACGGAGAACATGAGCCTGAACTGGTACTTCGGCGAGAACAAGCACATGCTGGTGACAAACTGCATCTTCCGGGTGGGCAGCGCGGCGGCGCTGGTGACCGACGTGGCGGCGCGGCGCGGCGACGCCAAGTACGAGCTGGTGCGCACGCTGCGGACGCACCACGGCGGCGACGACGCGGCGTACAACGCCGCCGTGCAGATGGAGGACGAGGAGGGGAACGTCGGCGTCGCGCTCACCAAGGACCTCGTCCGCGTCGCCGGCGCGGGCCTCCGCCAGCACATCGCCACGCTCGCGCCGCACGTCCTCCCCGTCTCCGAGCTCCTCAGGTCAGGTCTCTCTCTCTCTCTCTCTCTCTCTCTCTCTCTCTCCTTTGCTCTTCGCCGCCATAATGGCTAGCTGAACGAAGCATGCAGCCTTTGATTGCGTTCAGGCTTTCACAGATTTCAGACGCCTTAAATGGACATGAAAATTTGCTCTTTTTGCTGCAACATATCAAATATCTGAGCTGAAAAACAGAGCTTATGTGGTACTACACTCTTAAAATGAGTAATCCCTCTCTCAAGAAAAAAACTTAACCTAGAGAAGAAACTCAACCTAGAGAAGATGTGATGTCCAAATTCTCCTAGAATGCTGTTCTAGGAGAGATCACAGGTTGAGTTTTTTTTGACGAAGAGAGTAGTATTCAAATGATATAACGCATAATAAATTCATAAATATAATAGTTCCATCCAACAAATTTCTATATTTATTTATTTGTTTCTTCATAGCAAAGGACAAAACGTTCAACTAACGAAAAGATCATGGCAGAATCCAAACTAAAATTTAAGAGTTTGTAAGAGAATGAGCAAAACTCGAAAACATAGAAGAGCAATTAGGTGAACTCTCAGTGATGCACATGAAATTTTCTCATGCTTGTAACATTGCTATAACGACGACATACGAAAATTTTGATTTGAAGAAGCTTTAATTTTGTAAGAAAAGTACATGTATAATTTTGAGATAAAAATATATATAATAAACCAAGCTTTACGTATATACTAATTAAAGTAACTCCATTTATGATGGAGGCAGTATATTATTTTTCAATTCCCTGAGGTGTGTAGATCTAAGATGCGAACGAGTTTACGAAATAATCAAGGAGAACAATATTCTATGTTTATGATATTGCCCGTGAAGATGTGCTATAGCTAAGGGAATATATCCTATGCACATAATTTTTTCGTGCGCACTCCATGTACATCAACTAGCAAATGTCACAAAATATTCTAGAAAAAAATGGCAATTTTTTAATAGTATTATACATATCTGCAAAGTCTCGTAATTCATTATATTTTACCCATAAAAATAAAAAATCTACCAATTGTTAGGGTAAAAATATGTCAGAATTTTATCTTCTTTTTACAGTTAAAATATAATAAATTTGAAGATAAGATTTAACATGTTGGTGTAATACTCTTGGAAGTATGTGTCTAATTTTTTCTAGAATTTTCTGTGACATTTGCTAGTTGGTTTGTATGGAGTGTGCACGGGAATCTTGTGTGCATAGGATATGTTCTCATAGCTAATCAAGTTATATTTGCAAATATAAATAATTATTCTACAACTTAGACAAACCAACTTATAAATGTGTACAAAATCACTTCAGTACATGATTAAGCATCGACTAAAATATACAATTCGATCACTATTCTTCCAACAATGCATTTATAAATACTTGGGGCTCTCCAACGTATATACAAGTTTTAACATATAAACAAAATAAAACAAAAACTATTATTGATTAAAGTTTGGATAGAACAGTCATCACTGTCAGTTATTGAACAGTACAGGAGGTGAAACTAAAAGTTAACATTATCACTTTGGTCAATAAATTGATAAATTTTAGTACCATATATTTGACGTTGTTTTTTTAACAATGCAATATTATCCAAATATTTTGGCAACAAAATTTTTCAGTGACCTTTCCCATGCATTTGAACTACTTATTTTTTACAATATCTTATTTTATATAATCTCGAAGAGATATTTCAGTTAAAGTTAGTTTTATTTGATTAGATGTTACTATTATAGGACGACAACTTGTTCTCTGATGAGCACATTTAAAGTTGTTTGTACTCTACAATTATATACACCCTCCGTAACAAAAAATCCGAACGGATTCAAACTCATGAGTATTTTTTTTTTTTGACGAGGGAGTATGTAACGAGTTTTGATGCTTTAATTGTACTTGTCATCTCTAGAAACAGTCCCCTCCCCATTAAATTATCACTGGCTCCCGTCTTTAGAACCAAAAATCCAAAATATTTATAAATCAAATCGGTCAACTCTCAAGACATGCATATAAAATTATAGCGATTTTGCTATATATTTGTCGATAAATTTTTCCCCAAAAATTTGACAGATGTAATTACAGTACAATCGTAGTGTAATTACACTGTAACTTGCATGTAATTACACTATAACTATAGTGTAACTTATATGTAACTTTCAAAAATCTCTCTGTAACATGTTATTTCGGTAAAATGGAGGTCGTGGGAACAAATTCTTTCATATATGTGTGTGCTATGATTTTTTTTCTTCCTTACCAAAACAAATCTTGTAATAGATCTACGTGAAACTTACATATAAGTTACACTGTAGTTACATGCAAGTTACAGTGTAATTACACTACGATTGTACTGTAATTACATCTATCAAATTTTGGGGGAAAAATTTGTCGACAAATGTATAGGTAGTCCCAATTATAGAAACTGAGCCATGGTCTTTAATTAGTTCTCGCCTAGCACCAATCGTTTTTTTCACATTAACTACATCAGATTTTACCCATTTTTACACAGTGTTATTCTATTTTGCTGTTAAAGCCAGATCACTTTTCATGGTTGTGATATATCGTAGATTTGGTATGATCTTGATTTAAAATAGACAACTCCACGGACTTCTCCTGTGGATAGTTAGATCTATCCTTAAATGGCTAGTCACTCCCTAGACAGATCGTCAATCTTTTCCCCCTTAATAAGTGAATTTTATTTTTTTTTGCTATGTTACCTTACTCCCCCGTTCCAAAATATAAGGGATTTTAGGTGGATGAGCATATTTTTAAGTACTATGAATCTGGACAGCTTCGTTTAAATTCGTAGTACTAGAATATATCTCATGCATCTACCTAAAAATTCTTATATTTTAGGATAGAGCAAGTATATTTTTTCACTAGTTTATCAGGACGAATTAATTGATGCACTGTAGTACAAATTTAGGTACAATCTCAAACTTTTAATTGGTATACAGTGCTACGTGGTATGCCATTTCTGTGCACATTTAATACCACACGCCCCACATGTACAGCATTGGTTTTTTTTGTCTTCGAGAATCATACTCCTTCCATCCCACAGACTTTATCCTGTAAAATTTGTCCCACAGAAACTTTATGCTAAGAGAGTACTCCCTCTATATCAAAATATAAAAAATATAACACATAACCACTTATAACACAAGATCAAGAAAACATTTAATCACCTTCTTGATTGGATCACCTTAATACATACAAGTAATATGATTGTGAGGCTTAATGATATAAGATTTAAAACAAATTAATTTTATAGGACCAAGAGATGCTAGTTAATGTATACATGCATGCACGTTTTATATTAGGCCATTCCCAACTCAATGGCTAGGATAGTGTCCATAGCATTAAATAAGGTGCCACCTAGGATGAAAAATGATGTGGCAAGTGAATAAATGAGGAAAGAGAAGGAAACTATGTCTTGCATAAGACATAGTTTCTACACAACATACAAGACATCATGTGTAATAAGGAGCATTAAATTTAAGTATGGAATGGTAGTGTTTGCATTGGAAGAGTAGTGTCTAGTACTAGTTTCTTGATGATGTGGAGTTTATGGAAATCATATCTAGTGTTTTGGGTTGGGAATGGCATAAGACGTGATAGAAAAGTGGTTGTGTCTTATATTTTGGAATAAAGGGAGTAGTACCGATTAGGCTACGGGGTTATAGCTTCAAGCAGATGCCGAATTTAGCCACTGTGTTAAAAAAACCAATCAGATTAAGACATTTCACATTTGTATTTATTTCGAGCCTCTAGAAAATGTGGTTAAGTGTACTGACGAGGGGCACATTAGTCTTTTCTCACCACGGTTCATTTGAGCGGGAATTGCTATGAATGAACTCTTTTCTGTGGGATAGAGTAGGTAGCTGCCGAGCCAGCAAACACATAATTAATGATTAATTTAATTTATTGGTTAACTTATAGTTATTTTGCTACTAATTCAGTGATGAATTGGGGTGCATGACGCAGGTACGTGTGGCGGGTGGCGCGCGCATATGTCGCCGGGAACCCAAAGGCCGTGGCGGCGATTGTGCCAGATTTCCAACGCGCGTTCGAGCACATGTGCATCCACTCCGGCGGGAAGGCGGTGATTGACGCGGTGGTGAAGCTGATGGCGTTTGGGCCACAGGTCGTAGAGCCGGCGCGCGCCACACTGCATAGGTTCGGCAACACGTCGAGCAGCCTCGTCTTCTACGAGCTCGCCTACTTTGAGGCCAAGCGTCGCGTCCGTGCCGGTGACCGCCTCTGGATGCTTGCCTTCGGCACCGGCTTCAAGGCTTGCAGTAACGTCTGGCGTGCGCTCCGTGACTCTGCACCCGATGCCGACAACCCCTGGAATGCATGCGCCCACCGCTACCCTGCTGCGCTGCCACCGCCTTCAACGCGTAGGTCGAGTGGCGGTGCGCCCGCAATGGATTTTACACACTTGAAAAATGATAAGTTGCCTTAAGTTACCATTTTGAAAATAAAAAATGAAAATAAACTTTAGTATTCTAAAAAGTTGGGTTGAGTTTTTATATTCCATCAAGTAACATGTATTTTTTTTCTATTTTCTTCGTACTTCCTCAATTTTTTTAAAAAAAGTTAAATGATATATATTTGTGATCGAACGGATTAATCCACTAGTGTTATTGTTCTTTATCTACATGTATGTATCTATTTATTATGTAAAGTTATATATTCGTTCTGGTCATTCTCAAATGTTACTCGTTTTGTTTCGCTTAATTTGCCATATTTGACCCAGCAGATATGTCTACTCTATACTTGGATTGAGTGGCAGAGCTTGAAAGCTTGAAGTATAACAACGATCTTTTTTATAAAAATAAAACAACTATACATATCTTATCTCACTAAATTTATGTTAAAAACCCACTTATGTGTGTAATACTTCTAGACACTGGGATTTAAACCTGGTGGAGTGAAATTATACACCCATAACTCTACCGCCACATGACTTCCCCACTAATTAAGAACTATTTTGCTTGTTGGATTAATACTTAAGTGGTAAAATTAAATGACTTCATTGTAATTTTTCTAAAATTAAATGTGTCATTGTAAAACTCCATCTCTGAATTCTATTCGAACCACAAATAAAAATTCAGTAAAGTGACATTTACATAGTTCCCAAAAAAGGAGAGAAATATTATTTCCTTGGCTCGAAAAAAAAAACAGAATTGCTATTTAGTGGGTATATAAGATATAATTCTTGGATTCCAAATGTAATGTTTCCAGCTCCAGTACAGAGGGGGCTCGTGCACCCATTATTACTGACTATTAATCCAACACATGATTTTTATAATATTTCTACATGTCTATCCATCATTTTTAATACTTTATTCATATATATTCATATATTGCATAGTAAAACGCAAAGTATGATCCAATTATTGAATAGTTATACCTAGACGCCTGGACCCAATGCATAGCCCTTTAATTATCTATCACTAATTATACATATATATGAGTTATCCCTATATATGAGTTATCCCTACGTGTCTTGACCAAATACATCTAATAGGTGTGTTCGCTGTCATTTTCTCAGCTGCGGCTGCGGCAGTTCAAAATTGCTGCAATTTTGAACTGCCGCAGCCACAGCTGCAGTAGCAATAGCTGTCGAATATGGCCAATATATATGAAGTAGTTTTTAAGCCGTTTTTACGATAAGTTATAAAAAGCCGTCGACAATCGGTCAAAAAATATCTACCAGAGCAAAGTGCAACTCTCAGCGACAGAGGGAGCAGTGCATCGCTGTCGGCATGAACACTCAATTCTGACCATGCATGTCGATGCCATATCACCATTGATGATGATCATGGCAAACGCAGCAATGGCCGGCCAGCATTCATTGACGCCTTCCAGCGTTATCTTCAGTGTTCTACAACAGCCAACACAGTTACTACTATACATGCCAAGACACTTAGGCATCGTTCGTTTAGGGGTGATAGGGGAGATTGGCTCTCGTTTTCCGCGCGCACGCTTTTCAAACTACTAAACGGTGCGTTTTTTTGCAAAAAATTTCTATAGGAAAGTTGCTTTAAAAAATCATATTAATCCATTTTTAAAATTTAAAATAGTTAATACTCAATTAATCATGAGCTAATGGCTCACCTCGTTTTGCGTATCTTCCCAATCTCCTCAATCCCCTTCTCCTCAAACACTCCCTGTCTTCAATGAGGCCCTGCCAGATAGCCTAGCAACTGAAAATTTTCAAGTAGCAAGTCGCTGTAGACGCGCAGGGTTTTTTCCAGGGCAATACCCATATGCGTTAGGCCATGTTACGTGTTATTCTATTCATCCCAAAATAAATTATTAGCGCCGTCCCAAAATAAATCATTAGCGTGGCTGTAATCGATAGGCATATTCTATATTCGAAAGGTTGAGTTTCGGGTCACGATTTCAGCTACCATGGTAAATAGGTTTATCACAGGGATACGAGAACAATAAGGCTTTCTAAATGGTAACCCTACGTCCCTACTACCAAAAAAAAATTTTTTTGGTAAATTTTTGTTCAATCCTTTACATTTTACCATGGGAATCAACTTACGGCCGCTCATCAGAAGGTAAGGGAAACCTGCTTTGGATGCGGTAGAAGTGGTAGGAGTTGGTATGAATGTATAAACATGCTTCCTATGTCGCTTCATTCCGAAATGATTTAAAGATACCCTATATAATGGGGCTTTTAACTATTTGCCACGGTTAGTTTTGGCAAATAACTATTTGCCACCCCTATCTCAATGACATGTGGGTCCACATATGTCTATGACATATGGGTCCAATGACAAAAAGTTAATTGTCACATCTAAATGTGGCAAATGGTTAAATATCTCCTATATAATAGTGCACACAAGATGCACTAGAATGTAGGGGTAGGAGTTGTTGCTATAAATTAATCATGTCATAGTCTAAAGTATTCTTGACTCAATTCTTGGAATGGAAAATTTTAAAGATTTTAGGGGAACATACTAAAACCTGTGAAATCCTGTAAAATTTCTACTTCAAAGAACACTGAATATGAGTGTGATAATCCCTTTAATAGTTGTTTATAGTGATGTGTGCCCTCTACAACCCTCCTAAGACTTGCCATTATGATGTGAGGATTTTCTTCGGTTTAGTATACTACTTGGATAAAATAAAGTTTACTGTTGATTTTTATGTGAAAATCCTGCATTCCAAATATCCTTGTCTATCCAGGGTATGGACTTGTTGTCTACTAGTGCTTAATTTCACACCACCTACCCACGGTATACAGATGCACACTGTTGGTGATATGGACTGAAGAATCAGCAGTCAGAAGTAATGGCGGCTGTGAATCTGAAAGTCTGAATCCTCTGTTTCTCTGCATTTTGATTTTTTGAGGGCCTATTTCAGCTGAAATGTACTGTACTGGTGAAGTGGGATTTAACATCCAGAGTCCTGACTCATTTCTGAAGGAGTATAAACTGCCCTGCCTACCCCAAGGCCTATCAAGAACAGTTGAACTAGCCAATCCAAAAAATAAAGAAGAGAACAGTTGAACCAGTCTGATTCAGTAATGCACTGATACAGTGCCCCTAAACTGCCCAAAGTACGCAAGCAGGAGCCATGAGCCACTCCCAACAGTCAAAAAGAATTACTGACATAACTTTCTGTGTTTTTGAAGTAAGGCTTGACTAATTATTTCTTAGAATAAATAATTAAATAGTATGTTCATGAAAATACTCTTTAAGATAGATATCAAATATAAAAATGCTAGCTCAAGGTGTGTTGAAACATATTGTTTATCAAAGTTTTAAAATTTTACAGGAAAAAAAAAATTCAAACATCAGTACACAATCCCGCTAATCACGTAAACAAAAAAAAACACTTCACATCAAGCCAAAAGAGAATACTATAGCTCAATTCAACGCTTTTATGCCAACGCTTTTATGACCGTATACGCACCAAAAATTACTGTGGAGCAGCAGCATACACAGCAGACATGTGATGATGTGATCACACTCGCACTGTTTTTGGTCTTGGGAATAAATTTAAAATATACTGCCTCCATCCTATATTACTTGTCACTTTAAGTTTTTATTTATAACATATTACTTGTCACTTTAATTTTTTATTTATAATATTTGATCATTCGTCTTATTAAAAAAATTAAAATTATTATTTATTTTGTTCGTGACTTTCTTTATCAACAAAAGTACACTTCAAAAGTACTTTAAGTGTGATTTATCTTTTTTATATTTACACTATTTTTTCAAATAAAACAAATAGTCAACGTTAGTATATCTATAAGAATGACAGAACAAAACGACAGCTTGATAACAACTTCAGAAATGGTTAGCGTAGGAGTCTAGGAGAGGGAACAACAGTACAATACTGTTTATTCTTCTCAATTTTGCTTTGCCACCTACATTTTCACCACATACCAACTGTAGTAGTATGCACAGGTAAACCGAGTACAGTTTTACTCTGGACATAAATACATGCAAGTTACAATATCTTAGCAATGTAATCGGTACTAGTAACTGGTGATTGGCAGCAACAGAATACAAGCTTAGCATCATTGGAGGCTAGGGGAGGGGGGTTAAATTGAATAGTCCTACATGAGCTGTGGTAGCAAAGGCACACATTCTGTTCCACTGGAAGTGTTGCTCTTCCAGCTCCACAGAGGGGGCAAACAACTCAGTAAGAGTCATGAGCTGGGCTGTCTGAATGCATGTCCATGGATGAATCGTTCGAAGCCGTCGAGTTTTGATCGCGGTTAACGCCGTTTGCGAAGTACCCCGCATCGCCACCCTGCTCCAGGTGGAATGGTTGCAGGCTCCGGCGAACGGGGCTAGATAGTGCATTTGAAAAGACCGCTGAGTTCTTGGACTGCACCAATCCTGTATTTCCTAGCGCAAATAAGTTTGGTGATGGCTGCTGGCTCATTGTGTTGGGAATAGGCACTGTAGCTTGAGTGCTTTGGCTTGCATGCTGTGATCTTGGAGAGGCTGATGCATTGTCACCTCCATACTGGATCTCGTGCTACAAACACAGATGATTATTAGGCACATGTAGTTGTGCTAGGTCTAGGATGGTGCTTAAGGAGAAGATACGGCATAAGTACAAACTATATTTTGAAAAGTTGTAGCTGGAGCCTGGAGGCATGAATTGGCAAAGAAAACAATCAAAGCATAGGATTCATCTTATTCATTTCCTTATTTGCCATCAAATATAAACCTTATCCCTTACAGGATAAAAAAATGATGTTCCCTTATTTGCAACTAGTTCATTTTGTCTTCCCATTTGCCCCTTCTGTCATCTTGCTGTTAAACTAAACAAGAAAAGATAATTTGCCCTTCCTCATTCTTCCTAATTCCTCGTTTCTCCTTCTCTTCCTTATCCATGGTAAATTTAAAAAAAATGCCAGCAACAGAACAGTAAACTCATCCAACCCAGCGGCTTCGTTCTTCCTGAACACATGACAGAGCACTCACCCTCTACCAAAGGTAGGCATCCTTACCAGCAATGGCTAGTGAATATGGGTTGTGTGCCTAATGCCTGCATCCATTCCAATGAGGCAGATTCATGGGCATCTAGCATGGTCATCCTTGGTGGCATGTAAGAGATGTGCCGCCACATTGGTGGTATCCACCAAATCCAGGAAGTACTTTCGCAAATTTTACAAACTTATAAGAAAATGAAGTCATGCTATGCAACAAAAAAAATAACAATCTGCACAATCCTATAGTCCCATTCCAAAACAATAAGACCAGACACTTAATACTTGTGTCTAGCATGGCACTAGGTCTAGAGGATTCAAGCTTGCTGGGGAGTGGCACTAGAAGTATTATACTCACCTAATGCCCAATCAAACCATGTCTTGTAGCATAAAATTGCTATTCCCATATAACCTGAAAAACATGGTCAATCATACGACACCGATCCAAGCTCACCGGATTTCCAAGCCATATCTATCCCTGCATCCATTCCCCAAAAGAACAGCAGCGTACAAATGCAAGCTCACCGGATTCTCAAGCCAGATCATGGTGCTGAGCATTTGGTGGAGCCACAGAGGCTGACTAGCCAAAGCTTCTGCCAACAAACAGTGGCACCAGTTCAGGTCCATCTAGAATTCTAGATGGCAACGGATGGACTTAGGTGCTGTGGGTATGGCCAGAAGAAAAAGATGGCACCCATTTTGTGAGGGTACAAATGGAATATTTCCAAAAAAAAAAAAGGTGGATCCACGGTTAATGGTGTTTCATCCTAACAGAGTTGACGGACGTGGCAAATAATGAAAGGCAATAGTGAACTAGTGGCAGTAAGGGAATGCCGCGTTTCCATTGAGTTAGCATTAAATGGCAAATAAGGAGTTTTATCTAGTTCATTAGGGTTTTGCAGTCAGGTGTATTCACAAAAAAAAACAATGAGCATGAAAGGAAAATCTAAACAAGTTCTTCAAGGCCATGTTATAAATTTAGAGGATAATTAAATAGTTCTTGGAGGATGATAACTGCAAACCTGGATGTGCGAGGCTATATCAGCAACTGTCAGCCTCAAGCCATTTTCATGCTGCCTCAAGATCCATTCATAGAGCTTTTCCTGCATCAGTTAGAAAAAGATTGAGAAACACTAGTGAAAGGGGGAAATACAAAACAATGAAACAGATGTCGAGTAGTCAAAGAAAAAAATGTTGAAAAAGAAGAGAAATGTGTTTTTCTGTACAAAATATGTCTAGGTTTTAGGTATGCGTGACCCAACCGTCATTACTCTCGATGGCAGCCAATACTCCCTCCAGTCACGATAACATGTGAAGTGCTTCAACTTTCAACTCAAACTTTATAAACTTTGCACAAGGTATATTTTTAAATTTTTAGATTGGCCGCATGAAAATCATATCTGTGGATTGTCTTGTCTCAAAAAACAAGCATAGTAATCTTTTTTGGGGTTTCCAAATATTTCACAATAGAAATTAGTGACCAAAACTGTATCTTGTAGATCATGTCCATGTCCAAAACAACATGTTTCCATGACCGGAGGGAATCGTCCAGTACTTCACCACAAGCAACAGAGTCAGAAAACTATGTGATTAATGAATGTTTGTATAGAACCCAGAAAATAGGCTCCTGGCTTTAAACAGCAAGAATTGTCCACATGGAAGAACAAAAAACTCATTTTGTGGAGGAAAACAAGACAGTTTGGCATGAACAGTTCTCCAGCCATTAAGAAGGTTGGAGTTTCTCTAGAAGTAGGGATGGAACCCATCTTTTATTTGGGATACTTAACAATGAAACAGAAAGCTTTGCAAAGAACTAAATGTGTACACCCTGCAACGACCATCTGTCTTCAAAGTACAAAATTCAAGAATCCATTGAAGTAACTGTTCTATATGCTAACTCTGTTTGTAAGGCATATGTCAAATGAGCAGGAACTTCTTTGATCCTAGTTGACATTGCATTGGGCTACTAGAAAACATAAACCTCTCTAAATGCCAACACAAAGCATTACTCTGTGATGTACAAACAATGCCAATATCCAATGCATTGGCTAGTGTATTGTTTGATGAGAGTCTAGTAATATTGTCATCTGATGAGTAAAGCAGACAATGCTCAATGGTAGTTAGCTAGAGTGTTTCCCTGTCCTGTGAAAACAAAGACCAGGAACACAGCTGAGCCACATCTTGAGTTCTGATCAAACCATAGCTTCAGGATGTTTCCAAGCATTAATACCAAGATATGCCGTCCAAAGCTTTTGCAAGAACATGCAAAAGTCTTGCACATCACATTAAGTCTTTAAGAGGAAACGAAAACAGACAGTTTTGATGCTTGACGAAGTCAAACAGCACCAGAATAGGCCAGGACTGGATCCACAGAGCCACAGCAAAACCAAAATCAGCAAACATAACTAAGTATCAACATCCTCGTAAACCGCAACTGCATAAGCTAACAATGCCATCCAAGTCTGAAAGAAGCATCCCACACCAACTGGCGATACTTTACATTTAACAGTACACAAGTTGAAGCAAAGCTGAAAAGGATGCATCCATAGTACTAGTGCAGAAGTAACCTGTTCCACAAGCTAAGCCTCCTCTCATCTGCTTTCCATTCCCCTCCCCCTCTGAGAGCAACCTAATCCTGAGTCTTGTAAAGCACAAGGGTGGGATGTCTACAACCATTTCAACCCAGAGGTGGAAAAAGCCATATTGGCACAGAACCTATTGGAGAAAAAGATCACCGACAATTGAAGCAAATGAGTTTGGCTGCATCGCCGTTAAAAGGCAACTGATGATATAACAACTACGAGAATCGCACTACTAGTGCGAGAGCACTTGTGAAGCTATCAATTGTATTGGCGCATCGCATCACGAAGAATATAATATTCGGTGAGGTCAAGGGACGCACTACGAACTAAAATTGCATACAGAATTAGTTGGTCTTTACCCACTATTCGAAATTTATATGTGCATGGTAGGTACCAGATTCAGGCAGAAAACATACAGGAATCAAAATTTCACCTAAATTTCAGAAAGCATAATCAAAATTTCACCAAAATTTCAGAAAATTTCCACATCACTAGAGGGGTCAATCGAACACACAAATTTCTTAGGGAATCTGAATTTCACTAACAAGAAGGCGCATCGGAACAAAAATCCCTCATCAAATCGAGCCGAAAAACAAGCCTTTCCCCACAACACAAACACCACAGAAAGGCCAAATTCACCGGGGAAACCGAATCCTCCCGCTGCAAAACCGAGAAATCCCCAAACATCCCCAGAACAACACGCCCACACCACATCACATCACATCAGACCGAACCCCCAAACACCCACAACCCATCACAGGAAGAAGGGAAGACGGGAGGGTCGGGGAGGGCCGTACCATGGCGTGGCGCTCGCCGGCCTGGAAGGAGAGCTTCTGGCCGCCCATGGCGAGCGTGTAGAGCTGGGACAGCGAGTTGGCCGCGCCCCGGAACGCCCCGTACAGCGCCCTGTCCGTCTCCTCCAGCCGCGCCGCCTCCGCCTTCCGCTTCTTCCCCCCCGCCATCTCTCACCCCCCCCCCCCACACCCCCACACAAACCTCCCGAATCCAACCCCCTCCTCCTCCACCTCCACCGCCGCCGAATCAACGCACGAACCCTAGGAGAGAGATGGATGCGCGCGCGCGTGCGAGCTCTTCTTCTTCTTCTCCGCGGCGAGACGATGGAGACGATGGAGGCGTCGCGTGGAGACGAAGCGGCGGCTTTACGTGTGGCCGTCTCTTTCTCCTCCCCTTACCCGGGCCGGGTGGGCCTTCCATGGCTGCGGCGGAAGGGGCACTGACGGGTGGGGGCCCAGTGGGCCCCACCCCCGCGGAGGAGAGGGGAGAGGGGAGGAAAAGGAGCACGTGGGGGTGGGGTTTGGCGCACGTTGGGTTTGATTTGTAGGGGGTGGGGGTCGCTGACGGGTGGGGTCCGGTGGTGGCATGTGGGGGAGGGGGTGTCCTTTCTGGCAGTGGCAGGTATTCCGTGCTGGTAGTTGTGACTTGTGACCAGTAGAGTGAGGTCGTACTCGAGTTGACCGACTGGGAACCTCCTCTTGCCGACCTCAATGGTTTTTACAGCAACAGAAATTTTAGAAAATCTTACTTCCTTCCCCTCATAATATAAATAATTTTGTATTTTTTTCTTTTTGTTTTATTAAAAAAAATTGTGCAAATATAAAAAACGAAAAATTATGCTTAAAGTATTTTGGATAACAAAGTAAGTCACAAATAAAATAAATAATAATTCTAAAATTTTTTTGAATAAGACGAATGGTTAAACAGTGTAAGAAAAAGTCAATATCCCTTATGTTATGGGGCGGAGGGAGTATTATTTGAAGTCAAAGTTATACACAACCACGAGTATTACAACGCGTGACATATAAACACGGTTTTTCATGGTCTATGCGATTCATAAAATTATGCATTTATTAAAATCTTGAAAGTAGTGAAGAGGTAAACTATCAACATTAGCCAATAACATAATAAATTAAAAATTTTAAATACACTCTTATGTTTTAGATTTTAAAGTACAAACAAAGGTGGGATTCTGTGAAACTTTACAATCATGGTATTACTATCTAGGATTATATCCTACAAGCCATAACACTTGTGGTTTTCTACAGTTTTGACATAAAACATTAGGTTTTCTAAAGCTTACTATATGATTTTTTAGAGATGTATCGGTGAAAAGTTGGTTTCAATCTATCAAAAATTAGAATCCTCTTGCTCTTCTTCTTGGTTTCTACTGGTGGGGTTGAGCACTGCCAACTCTCAGTCGAGAGAGATCCCGCACGAAAGGAGGGGATAACGATGGGGTGGTCTACCCTTTTTTATTTTAGGGAGTATTATCTCCTGTATAAAAAGTACATCTTTTAATACTTAAATCCTCGATAGGGGTTTCCAAAACAAGATTTACAATAGAGTTTTTGGTTGGTGTGTTTTAAAGGCATTCTCAATGTATGATGCTTATATCACCTTTAAGTTGGGCCTCTCGTAGGTAGTTGCTCTGTCCATAAAAACAAGTTCTAATGTTTATTACCAGTTGTCGACGGGGATAACCGTAGACCGGATATAGAGGGTATTGGGGTACGCTGGTACGAGGATCTACGTAATACGACATCAAGCAGGCAGAAAACAAAGATTATACTGGTTCAGGCCCCTTGATAGGTAATAGCCCTAATCCAGTTGATATGGGATTATATGATGTAAGCCACAGATTACAAAGGGAAAAGCGGAACTCGATGATATCGACGAGATCGTAGTCAAGTTGATTCGACTAGATCACCCGGCGACTTGGCTCCTGTAGGCTCCGGCTTCGTAGGCTGTGGTGGTTGTCTTGGCTATGAGATTCGATGCCTTAGGTCCTCCCAGGGAGTCCCTTTTATATCGCAAGTCAGCTAGTCTCCAAGTAGGACTCGGAGACATCGGACCCGGCATGATACAATGACGACCCAGTTCTGTCTAAGTATGACTCCTTCCATCCGTGAACTCCATGATGAATTCCCTTAACGTATGCCGAAAACGTCCGTATGCGCGCAAGTATACCATATCGATATGTGACGTATGTTGAAGGGTAGAGGGTATACCTTACCCGTAACCCTGACAATGGCCCCCGACTTCTGCTTAAATGAACTCATGTAGCCGATCATGACTTCTGATGTCGAGGCTGTCGTTGTTCTCAGTGTAAGGACCGAGAGACAAGGAGTGATCGACAGCGCCCGATGAAGCTCAACGGTCACGAGTGAATTTAAACCGAAGTCCAAAAAACTGCCGCGCGTAACGGATCCAGAAATTTCCGGCGGCAATCTCTCTCCTTTCCTTGGAATTCGCACCGTCGGAAGTACAGCTACTTAAATGAGTTTTGGGGATCCCTTTTGAAGTCCGCCTATTGTGAAAAAACTCTCCAGCCTCCAAGCGTTCCTCATCTTCTCCGCTCCCGCAAAAACCCTAGCTAGCGCATCTCGGTCCCTTCTCCGGTGATCTTCGGCGGCAATGGATCTCGACAAGTCTACCTCCACCAGCGCGTCGCTGAAGAAACTGCAGGAGGATGGCGCCCTTCCCGGTCGCGGGACCATGGAGAGAGAAGTAGGAGGTACTGAACCCCAGCCTGTCCTGGGTCGCATAGTTGCGATCGAGGACTTTATTCTCTGTGGTTTTCTTCCTCCGCCTTCTGAATTTCTTCTCTTGGTCTTGAATTTCTACGGCCTTTCCTTGCTCCATTTGAACTCCAATTCTATCGCCTTCCTAAGTATCTTTTCGTATCTTTGTGAGGCCTATATTGGGGTAGAGCCGTTTCTTGACCTCTTCCGCTTTTACTATGAGTTGCGCTGGATGGAGCCTAAAAAGGGTGTCCGGATGTGTTGGTTTCCGACTTCGGGATGGTCTGAAGTCGCGATACATCCCCTTCCAGTGCCCCTCATCTCGCAGCAAATGGCGGGGGAGGTGGTTCTGTCTTCAGATAGAAGATTCGGATCCGGTCTTCATTATTCCTGAGGAGCAACCAGACAAGATTTCATCTTGGACCGTCAAACCCGCCTTGACCCCATCCCTCCAATCTTTCATCGATATCATTGATGACCTCCGAGTACGGGGGTTGTCGGGGTATGAAGTCGTTGCCGACTTCATTGGTAGGCGGATCCTGCCGCTCCAAGCTCAAGCCCACCCAGCCTTTGATTATTCTGGACCGAAGGACGCGACCCGGGTTTCTCCTCGGAGTATTTTTCTTTGTAGTTAAATTGACTCCCTTATGTGTGTGTTCCTCCCGACTTATCGAATTCTGGTCTCGATTTACAGGCTTGGACAGCGCAACCGTGAGGCGCCGCGTTGGCCAAAATATGATCAGTGGCTCGACAACGGCGAGCAACGTCCCTGTCCCCCTTTGCGAGAAAGGGGTAGCCGAACGCGAAACTGCCATCAATGTAAGTGTACTCAGTGGCCCTTTTGCATTTTTCTTCCGGGATCGCATTATGACATCATGAAGCGTAGGCTCTCCCTCTAACTGATATCATCGGGCCGCTCGTGGACCATCAGGTGGCAGCGTCGCTGAAGGAGAAAGTCGCTAAGGAGGCGTCTGACGCTGTTGCCGCTGCTGCCACAATGAGTGGCGGCAACGTTCCGAAAAAGGGGAGGAAATTCTCCTCTGTGGTCGGACATCGTCGGAAGACGTCCACCCCTTCGGTAAGTTTTCCTGGTCCTTCATCGCGTAGTCGGGAAACTTCCCCCTCATATCATGCCCGTTATACTCCAGGCCTCGGATGCATCTCCCCTGCCTCCACGACGGCAATGGCTTGTGACGCTTGGCGAGAAGTGGGTGAACTTTGAGGTTTTATCACTTCATCGAGCTCTTGCAGCATGTCTCAATTGCAGCCTTTCACAGGGCGGCGCAGGCAAAAGCGGCGCAAGATGGGTCCGGAGGGACTTCCAGCGTGTCTCCTGCTGTGGCCTCGACACATGTCGTGGTCGTACCCAGGAGCCGCGAGGTGAAGCCAAGCGGCCCAGCCAGCGATCTCGCGGCTGGTCGGGGTCCGCCGACTGCCGTCCTCACATGGGAAGAGCTCCAGATCGCGATGGGGCGCCTCCTCGAGGCTGGTGCTCGCGGTGTTAGCCGCGAGATCGCGGAGGCGAGAGCGGCGATGGCGTCGTCGGCGAATGAACGCGTCGACCGGCTGACGCGTGATCTGGCGGAGTCGCGAGGACCTCCAGAAAATGAGGGAACTGGTGGCCGGCAACAAGCGACAAGGGCAGGGGCTTGAGCACCGCATGTCGGAGCTCGAGAACAACTTGTCGGAAATCCGTTGCTCGTTGCGGGTCACCTACACTGGTCTGCACCAGCTCGCCGGGGAGTGCGGTATCAAGTCCACCATCCCGGCGAATCCCGATGAGTTCTCGCTGACAACTTCGCTTGCTGAGCTGGCGACGGCGATGGAGGCGATCCCCTCCAAGCACGCGGCCAGGATCGAAGAGGAGACGTCCAACGGGATCTATACTAGGGCGTGCCATGTCCTTGCATATGTGAGGCTGGCGCATCCTAAACTCGATCTGCGGAAGATTTTGGATCAGGGGGCGGCTAGCAACGCGCGCAAGGATGTGATGGAAGAAGTCGACGATCTGGGGGAGTCTGTCCTCCCGCTTTTTGAAGAGTAGGATTTTGGCTTTCTTGTACTCTTTAGTCATGTTTTGTAAAACTCTCTGAAAGGGTCAATTAGGCCTAGAGAGGGGGTGAATAGGATAATTTAAAACTTTATGCAGAAGCTAAAACTGAGTTAGGATCGGAAAGTCTGATCCACAGTCAGACTATCCGAAAATATCAGATAGTCTGATGTTGGATCAGAGTGTCTGATCCACTAAAAGAACACTACAAGAAGATCTAGTGCACAAACAAGAGTATGGCGCAAACAGCGACTAGATCTATAGCGGCACAAAAGCAAAGCTAAATAATGGGAGAAGAGATATCACCAACAATGAAGTTCACCAGGTTGTTCCCGGAGTTCAAATCCTTGAGGGGATTCTACTCTCCGTTGAGGAGCTCACTAAGAGCCGGGTCTTTGCTAACCCTTTCCTCAAGAGGTTGCACTAAGCACTTCTCCTTCCACTAAGGGGTATCTCTTTCCTTGTGGAGGCGAGATCCGGCCTTCACAAACTTCTCCCGGCCAACCACACGTAGATCGGTGGCTCGGGAGTGACACCTAGCCGTCTAGGAGTCCTCAACCTCCAAGAGTAACAAACACCACACAACTCTTGGTCAACCCTAGTGCTCAAGATCAAGTGAAACACACACTAGGCCCACAAACCCCAAATCCACAACCACCAAGATCCACCACACAAAGAACAAGGAGAGATTTGAGAGAGGGAGAAAGAGCTCAAAGATCCAAAGCACCTTAGCACCAAGCACAACCCAAAGTGAATGAGAATGAAATGAGTTGGGTAACCCTAGAAAAGGGTTAGGTGGGGGGTATTTATAGAAGCCCCCAAAATGTGGCCGTTGGGAGAGAATCTTTTCATCCCACCTCGGAAAGTCCGAGGTGACATCGGATAGTCCGATGTTTTTGACCCCCAAGCAGGCCAGAGACAGAGAACGAAATTCTGGAGAATTTCGGACAATCCGATCGATCGGATAGTCCGATGTCATATCGGATATTCCGTTATTTTTGAACCAAGAATTTCATCCTCTCACAGAGACTCAAGTTCCATTGAATTTCGGAGTCTCTGGATCATCGGATACTCCGATCACATCGGATAGTCTGATTTAAAACTCACTCAAAAGGAATAAAAAGCAATTCAAAACAGAGAGTGAAGTTCTGAGAAATTTCAGATAGTCCGACGTATCGGATAGTCCGACCTTATATCGGATAGTCCGATATTTTTTAGCCAACACTCAGACCCAAGATAGTGAGCAAAGTTCTGTGAAATTTCAGATAGTCTGAGCATCGGATAGTCTGATCAACATCGGATAGTCCGACAGACATAAAACAGGAACACTTCAAATAAATGATTTTGAGCACTAGTGTTCTACCAATTATATGCATGTGGCATCCCTCTTAATAGTACGGCATCCTAATACTCAAGAACACAAGATATACATGGATTAGAAGACAATTACCACAAAAGATGCCGCAATACTTATTGTGTTGACATCCACTCCTTTTTCATCCTTGCATACATCTCAACAAAAAGCATTAGTTACCCTCTAATTGTGTTGTCATTAACACCAAAATAAATGAGGGGTCCTAGATGCACTTTCACTCTATGCGAGGTGTGGTTCAACTCGTATTTGAAGAGTTGCTGCACCTCTATGTGAAGAGTCTGTAGAGAGCTCTGAGTACCCCGTGGGGATCCCGAGGAATCGGCGGCTGGATACATCTCATGGATGAATGGGGCCTGCGCCTAGCTCGAAGGCATCAGCCAGCGTATCGACGAAGCCCTGAAGCAGTAGTGTCGTCGATCGAGCCGATATGCTGGGGGGCATATATTGGCTTGCATACGAGATCATCGTCCGCAGCTGCACCTCGAGTTCCTCCACGAAGGGTTTTCTCGTTCTCGGAGAACTCCTACGGAGATAGATGGCCTGGCGAAGTCGATGGTGCCGCTGGCGGAGAAGGTCTTCCAGTCCATGGACTGGCGTTGGCCTTCCTGGTAGTCTCCGTGTCCTGTGACAAATGTCTTAGGGAAAAAGTGTAATATAATTTTGGATTTTTATGGAATTGTAAGAAGTACTTGTGAAATAGAAAAGAGATCTATCTAACTAAGCTTTCTTACTCTGGTTGTAGCGTGTATGAGTGTCTTCTCACTTCGCGACTTCGATCAATCGTTTGAGTTATACACTCTCCCTAGCCCCCAGCCTTGTCATCGGAGAATTCTTCTTGGAAGATAAGGCTCTTGGACCTTTGACCTGCCTCGGTTGAACAAGCACTGATCCTAGCCCCCAGCCGTGAAGTTGGAAAGTTAATTTCCGATTTACACAGCTTGGTTAATACGCACGGCGAGAACTCTTACACGACCAGATCTTACATGGTCTTTCGTCTCTACAGGATCCGACAAGGCCTTATCTGCTCTGGGCGTCCCCAGCCGAAGTTCCCTTAGGTTCCTCAGAGGCCTTGTCAAGACGGCGTAAAGGGACATGAGGATAGGTTTCAACGCTAGGTGTCATCTGGGTAAGGGATCATCGGGAATGAACACTTTGATTGTAGTATGTACCTGAAAATAGGCTTTACTGAAGCTGTAAGATGTCTTACAAGTATGGATACTATTGACTTATACATAGAATTTACGTAATTGATCAATGTTCCAGGAATTAGCCAACTCACGACCATCGCCGTTTGCAATTTTGAATGCGCCTGGCCGCAGAACTTGTGTGATCGTGTACGGTCCTTCCTATTTGGGTGAGAGCTTGTTCCGCCCTGCTTGACTTTGAACCCGTCGGAGGACGTAGTCGCCGATCGAAAGTGTGCGTGCTCAGATGCGTTTCTCGTGGTAGCGGCGAAGGGCCTGTTGGTAGCTGGCTGCTCGAACGGCGACTCGTTCGCGATGTTCCTCGAGTAGATTCACATCGTCGTTTCGCTGCTCCTCCTGATTCTCATTGGAGTACTTCTGTGCTCGTGCGCTTTGATATCGTAGCTCGGTGGGGAGCATGGCCTCTGAGCCGTACACGTTGTTGGTGTGGTACGCACGGCCCATAGTACTGATGGAAGTTCTTCGACCCACTTCTTGTCATGTGACATGAGCCTGTCGTAGACGCGGGTCTTGATTCCCTGTAGTACTATGTTGTTTGCCCTCTTGACTTGTCCGTTGCTCTGAGGGTGAGAAACCGAGGCGAAGCAGATCTTGACTCCCAGCCTGATGCAGTAATCCTGGAAATCGGCATTGATGAACTGGGAGCCGTTGTCCGTTATAATATGGTGGGGCAATCCGAATCTGCAGAATATCCCTTTGATGAATTTGATTGCGTTGTCGGCCTTGATTTCCCCTGTAGGTGTCGCTTCAATCCACTTAGTGAATTTGTCAATCGCCACGAATAGGAACCTGTAGCCGCTCTGTCGAATCATGTCGACTTCACACCGCTGAACCATGTCGCAGGCGTCTTTGAGGGCGGTTGGCTAGAAGAACCCCTGTCGAAAAGCTTTTCCAACTAATGTCCGACCGGCGGTATGTGACCTACAGATCCCTTCGTGTATGTCGAGGAGGAGATGTCTGCCGTTGTCCGACGAGACACATTTTAGGAGTACCCCGTTTGGTGCGTTCTTGTACAGATCGTTACCTATTATACAGTAGACTTTTGCTTTACGGGATATTTTCTCGGCTTCTGCATCGTCCTCGGGCAACTCTTCGCTGTGTATGAATTTGATGAGTGGGGTGCGCCAGTCGTCTGTGGTCTCGATATCGGCAACGGCGCGCTCTATCTATGTAGCCCCCGAGCTGTTGTTGAGGGAGATCGGGCTATCTTCGTCGCTTGCGTCTTTCACTAATGGCCTTGTCAGGACGTCCAGAAAGGTGCCAGGTTCGAGTGGCTCTCGTCTGGATGCACGCCGTGCTAGATCATCTGGTTCGATGTTGTCCTTGCGGTATACATGTCGGACCTCGATCCCATCGAACCTTTTTTCCAGCTTCTTGACTTCTGCGAGATACTTGGATAACTCGGGGCTAGAGCACTTGTAATCTTTATGCACCTTGTTCACGACTAGTTCAGAATCCCCTTTCATGATCAGTTGCCTGACTCCGAGTGCAGCTGCAGCTCTTATCCCGGCGAGTAGTCCTTCGTACTCGGCTGTGTTATTAGTCGCCCTGAAGTTGAGGTGAATTGCATGCTTGAATTGATCTCCCAAAGGTGATGTCAAGATGAATGCTGCCCCTACTCCTTGGCTGTTGTGTGCACCGTCGAACGCCATTGTCCACGTTTCGTTGTCGATTTGGTTGTCTGACTTATTATCAGGCATAGTCCAATCGGCTACGAAGTCGGCAAGTACCTGGGACTTGATGGCTGTTCGTGGCACAAAGCGGACATCAAATTGGCTTAGCTCGACTACCCATTTCGCAATGCGGCCGACAACGTCTTTGTTTCTCACTACTTCACCGAGAGGGAAGGAGGATAGAACTATGACCCTATGGGCTTAAAAGTAGTGGCGTAGCTTTCTTGATGTCATTATTACCGCGTAGAGCAGTTTTTGGATCTGTGAATATCTTGTCTTTGCGTCGTGGAGAGCTTCGCTGACATAGTAGACTGGTCGTTGCACCTTCTCTCTCTTGACAACAATGACAGTGCTAACGGAATATGGCGTGGTGGCAATATATAGAAATAATTCTTCATTAGGTTAGGGGGCAACAAGTACAGGTGGATTTGATAGGTAGCGCTTGAGTGCAATGAATGCCTCTTCGGCTTCCTGTGTCCATACAAATTTGTCTTGCTTCTTCAGCAGGGCAAAGAAAGGTGGTCCTCGCTCTCTCATCCTAGCGACGAACCTGCTTAGTGCCACCATGCATCCGGTTAGCTTCTGTACTTCCTTGAGTCTTGTAGGCGACTTCATGTTCTCGATTGCCTTGATCTTCTCGAGATTTGCTTCTATTTCTCTGCCAGAGACGAGGAAACTGAGCAGCTTGCCCGATGGTACTCCGAACGTGCACTTCTCTGGATTGAGCATGAGGCGGTATCGTCGGAGGTTGTCGAACATTTCCCGCAGATTGTCAATCAATGAGTCGGTTGTCTTGGTCTTGACAACAATGTCGTCGACGTAGGCCTCGACATTGTTTCCGAGTTGGTCACTGAGTACGCCCTGGACCGTGCGCTGGAAAGTGTTTCCTGCGGTTATTAGTCCGAACGGCATCTTAACGTAGCAGAATACCCCGAACGGCGTGATGAATGCTGTCTTCTCCTCGTCCTCTTTCGCCATGCTGATTTGGTGGTAGCCGGAGTACGCGTCAAGAAAGCTCAACAACTCACAACCGGCTGTTGAGTCCATCGGTTGGTCTATTCGAGGAAGAGGGAAGTGATCCTTGGGACACGCCTTGTTGAGGTCGGTGAAATCGACACACATTCTCCATTTCCCGTTGGCCTTCCGCACCATGACTGGGTTGGCTAGCCACTCTAGATGGAGTACCTCTCTGATGAAACCAGCTTTGAGAAGCTTGTCGAGCTCTTCTTGTATGGCTTGTTTTCGATCTGGTGCAAATCTCCGCAGTTTTTGCTTTACTGGCTTGGCATCAAGTCGCACCATGAGTTTGTGCTCAATCACCTCCCTGGGTACCCCCGGCATGTCGGATGGCTGCCAAGCGAACACGTCAGCATTGTCGCGGAGGAAGGTGATGAGCGCGAGTTCCTATTTCTCACCTAGTGATGCCCCGATCTTGACGGTCTTGTCGGGGTTGGCACTGGAGAGTGGAACAATCTTGATTGCGCCGTCCGATTTCGGCGTCTTGTTTGTTTTGCTCACTTTCTTGGGTGGCTCAGCTGTGGCGGGTGGGCTGGGCGTGTGCTCGACCATGTCGAGGCTCCGCTTGTCGCATTGCACTGCCAGCTTAGCATTCCCTTGAATAGTGATTGTTCCCTTCAGTCCCGGCATCTTAAGCACTTGATATGCGTAGTGAGATGCGGCCATGAACTTCGGGAGTGCAGTTCTCCCAATGATAGCATTGTATGTTGTATCGAATTCAGCGACATCAATGGTGATCTGCTCTGTTCGGAAGTTATTTGCTTGGCCGAAAGTCACAGGCAACATAATTTTGCCCAATGGTTTGGACGATGACTGAGGAGTGATTCCATGAAAGGGTTGATCGGTGGGTGTCAACTCGCTTCTTGGGATCCCCACCGCGTCCAAGGTGCTGGCGAAGAGAAGGTTGATTGAGCTGCCGCCGTCGATCAGAACTTGCGCAACCTTGATATTCCGAATAGTGGGTTCGACCACGATCGGATATCGCCCTGGGATGACAGCAGTCTTGGGGTGGTCCTCTTCTGAGAATTCTATCTTCTGCTCAGACCACTTCATTTTGGGCACAGCTCCTTGCCACGTCGAACAAACTTCCCGTTCCACTTTCTTGTATTCTCGCTTTGAGGAGTATGCCGTGGAACCTCCAAAGATGTACGAGACATGGAGATCAGAGTCTGGGTATGCTGAGTCCGATTCCTGAGCAGTTGCCTCAGCGTCCTTCTCGACCACGCGTACTCGCTTGCCTTTTTCCAATGCCATGTGTTTTGCGAGCGACTTTTTGAAGACGAGGCAATCTTCTAGAGAGTGTATGTCCGACTTGTGTATAGGGCACCATGTTTTCTTTGTGTCGCTGCCTTATGGGTCTGGGCGCTTGGGAGGGTCCGCGTATTCTGTTGCGAGAACTTCCGCTTGAGCTTTCCTTTTCCCACTCTTGCGATTTTTCTTCTTGCTTGACTCAGGTGCGTCCTTGGCTGGTTTCTTATCTCCTCCGGTCTTCGGTTTGTCGTTCTTGTGCCTCAGTGCGTCGTCCGCATGAGCACATTGTCGAAACTAGATTTCGGCAATAATAAAAGGGGGTGGCTATCAAGCTAGGAAAGTGTATGGGTTTGGAGACAAAGGATTTATACAGGTTCAGGCCTTCTTATAAAAGAAGTAATACCCTACTCCTGTCCGGGGATGAATCCGCCGGGTGTATTATTGATTGTATGATTCAGGAGAAATCAGCATATGCCCCTAGAGGCGCCCGGACCCCCCTTATATATGGAAAGGAGTCCGGGTTACAAAAGATAATCTATATCCCTAACGGAATATGAAAATATAGGTAAGATACAGTCGTAACCGACTAAGTTTCAGGGTGTTTCCTTGATACACAAGTTAAGAAACAAACCCAAGATACAAATAAGATATTCTATCTACATTAGGTATCCTGTACCTAGTTCGAATACCATCGCCGTGTAGATATGGGATACCCATGATCTCCACAGTAGCCCCCGAGTCCTTTGCAGTCGACCATCGTAGCCTTCTCAAAGATGATAATCCGAGTACTTCAAACTCTTCAAGCCAAAACCTGCCGAGTGGACTGTAAAGGGCGAAAAGATAAAGAATATGGTGCATCGAATAGATGCACCTAATTAGGTGTAGCCCCCAACTATGTGATTAGTTAACAAACTAAACATATAGTTGAAAGACAAAATAATAACACAATTGTGCATTATATGACAAAAGCATACGCGGCGCCTAAATAGGCATGCTAGCCGACTGCTTTTTAGCCACAATAAAAGAAATCCGAGTGGTTTACACTCTAAAAGGTTCACGAATGAACACACTCGACAGGCATCCGAATATAAAAACTCTAAAGATTACCCATCAAGTATTATAAAGATTATGGTAATAAATAAGTCGAATAGCCTAGGCCATGACTATTTACCATGAAAACAGGCATATAACACGCCAAGGAAATGACTATAATAAAAACAAGTCATCCCTAGTTAACCCAAACAGCTTTTGTAGCCTAAAAAAGCTTGCAAAAACAGCATAACGCCTTTCTGTCGGGCACCTTTTTAATTTGCATTGCAATAATTCCAAAGAATTATATGACCGCATAAAAAGGATTTCATCAGCATTGGGCAACACTGTTGTGCGCATAATATTGCCAAAGCAAAATATGCCTAAGTCCCTAAGGAACACAATGGGCCACGCTGTTAAAAGTATTGGGCTGAAGTACTGTTCAGGCCTAGGCCCATTAGCACCTCCGATACCCTTAACTGAAAAAATCCGATATCCAAGCGACGCTTCGTCTTCCCCGCCGGAACTCTCGCCATTTTCCCCACTCCCTGCTACAGTGTAAAGCTGCGCCGGCGAACTAGGGTTCTCAACTCCGGCCAAATCCACCTCCGAAAAGTGCATCAAAATCCTTCCCGTGATCCACCGCCTCAATCCCTCACCTCTCCCAAGCCATCCCTCAAATCAAATCAACACATTTGAGTGAAACCAATGGCGGAAGAGAGAGAAAGCTTCGAAGGTCAATGGGCGCCATCCGACGTAACGGAAGAGAACTTGAAGGAGATGGTGGCGCACGGCGTTCTCCCAGCCAAGGAGATCATCGGGTGGCGGCCAGCGAGCGGTGAGACTTTTCCGACCCCTGATACACATGAGATCGTAGTCTTCTCGCATTTCTTCTATGGCGGCTTCGCTCTTCCGACCTCGAAATTTTTCCGCGGGATCCTGAATTTCTACGGAATCAGCTTACATCACCTAAACCCGAATTCCATAGTGCATATCGCCAACTTCGTCCATGTTTGTGAAGCCTTTTTGGGGATCAAACCTCACTTTGCCCTATTCCGCCGGATCTTCTTCCTCAAACCCCAACCAAACAAGAACAAACCGTGTGTAGTCGGGGGGGCAGGATTCCAACTAAGGGGAACTCTGAGTCAAAAATATTTCTCGATGCCCTTCAAGACTTCGAACAAAGGATGGCATGCAAACTGGTTCTATGTTCAGAATCCCGAGCCTGCTCTTCCCGGGTACTCTTGTCTTCCTCCAGTGTACCAAGATACTTGGAATTCTCTTCCGATCGGAGATGAAGCAGTACAAGCCTTGGAGTTGTTGGATCGTATGTTAAATCTTAAAGAACAAGGCTTACAGGGAGAGCAGATCACTCGGCACTTCATTAAATGCCGACTGGCGCCAATCAAGGAAAGATCCCGCACAGCATTCGAGTTCGACGGCAAACATGATCCCAACCGTGAAGAACCAGACTCCCTGGATTTCAAAATCATGAAGGAGAGGATGTATAAAATCTTCTCAAATGCAATTGTAGTCAGCTACTCTCATCAACTGCCAGTCGTGCCATATAATGCATTCAATCCGCCTCCACAGGTATGCATCGGAAATCCTCAAACCGTGATCAGAACATAGTTTTATCTTCACGCTGAGTTGACTAACTATGGAAGCATCTTGTCCAGGAATATGCATTGATGAAGTCAGATCCACCAGTCTCTCAGCGCCGGTCTCCTCGCCAACACACCGCTCAGGGAGGCGGAGGGCCAACGATCAGACCAGATCCGCAACCTCAGACCTCCAAATTGGCTGATCAAACAGGTCCTCGTAAAAGAAAGCTGGTACTTGATGATGATGAAGGCGACGATGATAAATCTGGGGATAAGGGCTCGCCTAATAAACCCCCAAAGCGTACCATGCCCAGGAAAAAACTGGCTGGCCGTGCGATACCAAAGATCAGAACATCCTCCAGGTATTAGACCTCTCGATATGATTCCGCTTCGGCATGTTTTTCTCATGAAAATGATACTGAATACTGAAAGAACACTCTGCAGGAAACCATCTGATATAGATCCATCTGGAAAAGACCCTGATCCGGCTATGACAGAGCAAAATATATCCAAGGACCCCGAGCCGACTAATGAAAACCAGCCGACTGCTGAAAGCCAGCCGACTGGCGCCCATGCTTCAGGAGATAGGGCCAATCCGAGTGACCTGCCGCCGACTGGAAACCAGTCGGCAACGACTGAAACGGCAACAACTCAAGAGCCCCCGACTGGAAACCAGTCGGACGCAGGCCCTGATCCAGAGATTCCCGAAGTAGAAGCGCAGACGACGACTTCGCAAGGACCAGAGGTTGGTAACGACTCGATAGCTGGGTCTTCAGGTAAAGAACAAAGATCTCCTCACGCTCAGCTAGGTACATCTTCAGGTTAGTTGTCTTCTCAAACAATGGCGATTTAAATAACCTCAGTTTATCCGTCTAATATCTTGGAAACACACCAGGACCATCAGATGATGACGGGGAAGAAATTCCTCGCATAAAGGCGACCGACGACTCTCGTCCTCCTATCTTGATCAAATGGTGGGATGAGAACTCACAAGCCGCCGGTATAGTCATAAACCGTCAAAAAGAAGATGAAGAAGTGTGCCAGCTAAAGAAAGCGCTTGGAGAAGCCACTCGTATTGTAAATGTAAGTCTTCCGGGTGACAGCCTTCGATAACTTTGTTCTCTTTTTAGCAGAAACTAAACCATGATCCATCATGCAGAGAATCCATCTTCGCAATGAGGCCAAGACTACAACTTTGGAAAAGCTGGTTCCTCATTTGGGAACTCTAGAAGCAGTCAGGGACCAGCTGCATGAGGCCAAGGAGTGCGCCAAAAAGACAGAAAAAGAGTTAAGGGACCGAATCGCCCAGCTCCAGGATGCAAACTTCGAACTAAGTGGTTCTTCAAAAGGTAATCATCCCGATCTGTTCCATTGATTTATGCTGTCATAATTGCATCCTCAACCATCTGGATTTCAAACAGCGCAAGCCGCCAGGATGGAACAGATGGCGAGGCAAATTGAAGCCCTGGAGAGAGACAAGACAGAACTGGCTGCGCAAAGGGACTCAGCCTTGAAGGAAGTCGAAGGTAGCGCCAGCTAACAGTCTGAGCTTCTCTCCTTATAATGCAACAGATGCTCATCATGAATGTGTTTTGTAGATCGCAAGATCAAATCTCAAGCTCAGTTTGACGTCCTGGTTGGTAAGATCAAGAGGCTTGAAGGAGCAAGGGATGACGTCGCCAACGCCGCTGCACCAATTATCCAAGCCATGTTCCTCAATAATGGTGGTCCGAGTGCACTCGACGCAACCGAAATATTTGACAAGCTGAGTGTTGCTCCGGAAGTATATTTCAAGAATATCAAGAAAGCTGGAAGTATGGGAGCTGGCATGGCCTTGGCGATGACAAAATCCTTGTACCCGAGAATTGAAGTCGACACCATTGATGGATTTGCAGACGGGACAAGTGAAGAAGCTGCCCTTGATCTTATCAGCAGTGCGCAAAATGCGGCCGACAAAATTGCGAGCGATGTTGTAGAGCAATTTCGCAACAACGACCTCCAGCCGAGTAATGAAGACTCTGATGATGAAAGAACTGATTCTGACTGATCATGAATGTAATGTATGGAGGCTCAATTTGTACAATACTGGTGTATTTATGCTGTGCTTGATGATTCTTGCAAAGTTTTTGATTTCTTAAAAGTTTTTGCTAAGCTTTGTTGAGCCTAAAACCCAAAGAAGCTATTAAAAACCTTCAGTCCTCGCAAACTAAGTAGAAAAACCAAACAAGGCAATGATAAACCAAGTAAGCAAACTGAATTGATAAAAAATCACACTCCATTATTATGATGATAGCCCCCGACTGACAACTTCAAGGAGAAAACTTGACGTTTGACAGTCAAAATAGGGAAATACAATGATAAGGTTAAGCGTAGATGGATCCGGGGATGAATCCGCCGAGTGTATTATTGATTGTATGATTCAGGAGAAATCAGCATATGCCCCTAGAGGCGCCCGGACCCCCCTTATATATGGAAAGGAGTCCGGGTTACAAAAGATAATCTATATCCCTAACGGAATATGAAAATATAGGTAAGATACAGTCGTAACCGACTAAGTTTCAGGGTGTTTCCTTGATACACAAGTTAAGAAACAAACCCAAGATACAAATAAGATATTCTATCTACATTAGGTATCCTGTACCTAGTTCGAATACCATCGCCGTGTAGATATGGGATACCCATGATCTCCACACACATCGATCGACAATTTCGAATAATCTCCGAGTAGTCGTGATACGCCTCGTTGCCAACTCCTGGGTAGTATAGCAATCTCTCACACCGGACTTGAAGGCGCGGATTACAGAAGCGTCGGTGATTTCGGGGATTGTATTTCTGCACTCATTAAAGCGCCGAACATAATCCCTCAAGGATTCATTCGGGTTCTGTGTCAACGCATGTAAGTTGTCTTCGATCGCGTGGCGCTTGTAAGTTCCTTGGAAGTTGGCGACGAACTTCTACCACAGGTCTGCCCACGAAGAAATCGAGTAGGGAGAGATGCATCAGCCATGAACGCGTGGAGCCTTTCAATGCGGTTGGCAAGTAATTCGCCAACACGTTGTCGTCCTCTCCGGCAGCGTAGAGTACCGTGGAGTAAACCTGAAGGAATTCTTGTGGGTCAGTACTCCCATCGTACTTCTCTATTGCTCCTGGTCAGAATCTCTCAGGCCATCGGACATCACGTAGCGAACGGCTGAAAGCTCTACACCCAGCGCTGGGGGTGGTGGGTTGTCGGTGATCGTACGTCCTTCGTGGATGTCTATCTGATGATGAGGATGAGGAAGATGACGACGATGATGATGGGTCACTTGATTCCGGTGTACGATTACGAGGACATCGGCCGGGTTATCGAGAATCCTGTTGTCGTCTCCCGTTGTTGTCTCAGCGCCGATCTCCATCGTCGTCGTCATTATGGCGACGTCCTCGACCAGTATCGCCCAGCACCCGCGGTTCGCGATCGTCGTGATCGTGGCGGTTGTGGCGGTTATCACGATCTCGGTCTTCGCTCGAACGGCCTCCTCGTTCTTCGTTATCGTGACGCCGTGAAGAGACGCGATGTCGGGAACGGTTCTTGTTGTCTCATGCGCGTCGCGCCTCTCGGCGGCCATTTAGGTGATCGCGGAGATCGCCGGTGCCACGAGGTGGAGGGGTGGCTCGATGAGGCGATTCCCGCTGTTCAGGGTTTTCACCATTAGCACCGCCAGTTGGTGGCTGTTCTAGGTGCGCTGCAGCAGCAGCCTCTTCGAACGCGTTGCTGAGGTTGGTCACTGATTCCCGTAACCGTTCTGTCCATCGTGCGAGATCGTCGTTCAGAACGGGATCGTAAGGGGTTTCCCTCAGTATTGCGTTGACGGCCCTGATGTGCTGGGCTGGTGTAGTCACTTGATTCTCCGCTTCCGCATTAGTGCGCGCTGATGTGCCGGTCTCATCGATAGCCAATACCTCGCGCGGCGTACTTGTTGATGATGAGCCATAGTCTTCGAGCAGGTGCAAGACTGATGGTTCGTGGGGATCGATGTCGATTACCCCAAGGAATCGATCTGAAATCAACGTCGCTCCTTGTTCCTTGTCCTCATCCTTGAGGGGGATCTGTGACTGCTGGACCTTAGGAGGTGACGTCTTCATGGCGCTGAGAAAGACCTTGCAGGTTGAGAGGTCGTGATTCTTTATCTTGTGAATAGGACAATAGACATCACGGGTTGAAGAAGTACGCTGAATTCCACGCTCTTTGTAGGCACGAATTTCAGTGTGGACGTTGAGAAAAACCCAGCAGGCTTGCAAGGTGTGTTTTCTGGTTTTGTGGATAGGACACCAGGACCTTGACCTCGGAAGTCATCCTCGTCGGCTCGTGATTCTTGTCGGAAAGACAAGGTTTGGCCGCACTAGGATCCTTCTCGGGCTCGGATGTCGTCGACGTTCCGTTCTCCGCTTCAGCGGGAGGATCCTTCGACATGGAGTCATCCTGGGTTGTAGCTATTGTGTTCTCGCTTCCGATCATTGATGGACCAGCCGAGATCGGCACCGTGGTGTAAACCGGGAAGACGATTTCGTTGACTTGAATCCACACCAGCATTGTTGAAGTAGGAACTCCTTGGTTGAGGTTGGTGTTGACGCTGTTGTCGACGAAGCTGGTTGTCATAGTAGTAGAATCTTGAACACCAAGTCCCCCTACCTGGCACGCCACTGTCGACGGGGGATACCCGTAGACTGGATATAGAGGGTATTGGGGTACGCTAGTACGAAGATCTACGTAATACGACATCAAGCAGACAGAAAACAAAGATTATACTGGTTTAGGCCCCTTAATAGGTAATAGCCCTAATCCAGTTGATATGGGATTATATGATGTAAACCACATATTACGAAGGGAAAAGCGGAACTCGATGATACCGACGAGATCGTAGTCGAGTTGATTCGACTAGATCACCCGGCGACTTGGCTCCTGTAGGCTCCGGCTTCGTAGGCTGTGGTGGTTGTCTTGGCTATGAGATTCAATGCCTTAGGTCCTCCCGGGGGGTCCCTTTTATATCGCAAGTCGACTGGTCTCCAAGTAGGACTCGGAGACATCGGACCCGGCACGGTACAATGATGACCCAGTTCTGTCTAAGTATGACTCCTTCCATCCGTGAACTCCATGATGAATTCCTTTAACGTATGCCAAAAACGTCCGTATACGCGTGTCACGCCCGGAATTTCTATCCAAAATTCCAAACGCTTACATGTGTGTGAACCCTCGTCCAGGAATCAGCCGAGGCACACAATAACAAATTGATAATAGAGTACAAATATTACTCTAATTAATAAGCGAATAAAATGTCATTACAGAGGTAGATAGTTCCTCTCAATCAATAAAGATCTAAGCAGCGGAAAATAAATAAACGGCGCAGACGGCTCCACTCCACAGGCAGCTTGACCAAGGCTACACCTATTCCTCCACTCCATCAGCCTCATTGTAGAACTCTTCCTCTGATGAATGATTGCAAGGTGAGTATATGACATACTCAGCAAGCCACGCAGCAAATATGCAAGTGCACAAGATAACAAAGGATGGCATAATAGGGTTTCATTTGCAAAAGCAGCATTTAGCAAACATTTGAGAATTTAATAAAACAGTTAAGTAATTAAACAATATTAATCCAACGCTATACAACATACCCTGTTGTATAGGCCCAACCATTCTGAACAACCACCCCGTCTGCACAGTTCTATCTCCAAACCAGGAATATTCCATTCCAAACCAGGAGCTAATCAAATTATTACCAATTTAATCATCATTTACTATGGTGAGAAGTGTGAAACTAATCACGAAAGACATTGTTAGACCCGCCCATAACCGCTGGCACGGCTATTCGAATAGTTTTACTCTGATCAGAGGTGTACCACTGTACCCACAAGACACAACCCCACATCATGTCACCATGTGCCTCAATACCACCACGGTATCTCGGAAAGGAGTTGTGACAATACCCCTCGCATAACACAATCCACTGCAGCGCACCTTCCTGGATCATAATCACCCCCTTATAAACAAGGCATGGACTCCCCAGCGACCCCCGTGGGCTTATCTCCGCCACTTCTCAGTCTGGTGCCCCGCAATGAACCATGCTATACAAAAGATAAAGCCGTTGCCCATGCTGGCTTGTGGTTGGCACGGTTAATGTTTCACAACCGAAACTCGTGAACCGGTCCTTAATTGTCATGAGCACGACCAACAAAACCATGTGCTCACAACCCACCATTACCAGGTTTTAGTTGGCACATTAATTAATTAACTAATCACGATTGACCATCGTGAACTATCATGAAACCATCATTAAATAATAGTGAGTCATTAGTTATCCCGAATGTGTACTAATGTTTCTAAACAGGGCTAAGCAATTATATCTAATATCTAGTTGAACCAATATAAATAAAGCTCAACTAGTCAAATTGTAATAACCCAAGGTATCAAGGAATAAGGTAATCAAGTACAAAAGGGCCATAACAAAGAATAGGTCAATTCCACCCAATGACATTCGAAAATAGATGCAATAGTTGAATAGAAACAATAGCTTTAAATAGGATCAACATGCTCAAAGGGTTGTTTGGGATCTGTGTGACTTGCCTTGCTGGCCTTGGAACTCTTCAAACTCTTCTTCTGCGAAAACGGACTCTCCGGAAACGACGGAATCTAAGCAGAAAAGAGCAAAATCACCAAAACAGCACATAAACAAGCATGAACAGTACATGTGGATATTTTTAAAGTGTAAATCTCAATCTTAGAAAAATTTAGAGACTTGAACCAACTAAATCGGAGCTAAGATGAATTAGTTATGAATTTTTAAAGATTAAATCGGATTAAAACACTTATATCGGTTAAAATTGAATTATGACGCAATAATGAATTATTTTTGAAAAGGAAAAGAGGGTTTATTGCGTCAGCGGGCTAGGGTTTGGTGAACCGGGCGCACGGGCGGCGGTTCACACGAACGGACGGCCGAGATCGAACCAATCCAAAACGGACGGCCGAGATCGATCGGGTCCACGGCGGCTCACGGCGGACGACCCCGATGACGTCAGCGGTGACGTCACCGACAGCGGCGGCTCGGCGGAGGAGACGGCTCGAACGGCGCACGCTCGCCGGCGAACGGCGGCGCGAGGACGCAAACGGAGGGCACCAAGACGAAGCGGGCGGCACGGCGAACTCACCGGCGACCAAAACGACGGCGGAAGGTCAACGGACGGCGACGGCGACGAGGAGGAAGCGGCGAAGCTCTTCGGCTTGACGACGGCGACGAAGCTCCGACGATCTCCGGCGACGGCGAAGGGGCAGACGAGGACGGCGACGACTTGGCGAGCACGACGGTGGTCTTCCCGAGCGACGGCGACGGCTGAAACGACGGCGGCGCACGGCTGGAGCGGCGGCGGCGACGGCAAAGCTAGGGCACACGGCGCTAGGGCTTTTCCGACGACGAGAGGCGAAGGCGAAGGTGGCGACGGGTAGAGGAGACACCGGGGATCCTTTTAAAGGGGCTAGGAGGCGACGACGAAGGCCCATGGCGGCGGCAACGGCGAAGGAAAGCTCGGCTTGGAGAGAGGGAAACCGATCCGAAACGAACTCGATTCCACGAACTTCCAAAACGATTTAGCCAAAGATTCCAAAGGAGAAAAGGTAGAGGAGATCCCGGAGATTGTTTCCCCTCTATCAATTCGGCCGGAGAAGGAAAGGAGCGGCCGGATTGGAAAGCGGCGGCGGCGACGCGAAACTAGGGTTTCGGCCGGAGGAGGACGACGAACCCGACAGGTGGGCCCCACCTGTCAGCGGGCGGACGCGCGCGCGCGCGGTGGCGGACTGGGCCGGCTGGGCCGAAGAGAGAGAAGAGAGGTTTTGGGCCGACGCCAAAAGAAGACTTTTAAAACCTTTTTCAATTTAAATTATTTCTTAAATGCAATTCCATTTATTAAAATACTTCCTTAGCTCAAATAAATCCCAGAAAAATCTAGGAATTATAGAATTAAGCAAAGTATTTAATGAAATTTTATCTGGCCACTTTTTATATTGGCATTTATTAATTAAAACTAGATCTTCTCTTCAAGACTTTTAAAATTATTTCTAAAAATTCCAATTAAACAACAATTTATATATTTTGAATTTTCAGGGTGTGACAGCGCGCAAGTATACCATATCGATATGTGACGTATGTCGAAGGGTAAAGGGTATACCTTACCCGTAACCTTGACACCAGCTCTGAGTAAGGTCAGAATCATGACAAAATTTTGAGGACAGAGGCTGTGTTTAGTTCCTTCCAAAGTTGGAAGTTTGGGTTAAAATTGGTACGATGTGACTGAAAAGTTGTGTGTGTATGACAGGTTGATGTGATAGAAAAAGTTGGAAGTTTGGATCTAAACACAGCCAGAGGTGAGCGTGGTGCGAGGAGTGAGAATTTGAAGATTTTTTTTATATTCCTTATTGTTGGTCATAAAGTAAAAGATAGCCTTAAGCTTAATAAGGTCGATTCAAACGTACATGTCTCACGGTGTATAATGGGGCTACAAAGTGATATTTAATAAATGGTCTAAAAAATCAATACTTAATCTAAAACTGGACACACTTTTTATTTTAAAAAAGGACTTGTCACATTGGACTAAAAAACCGGTTAAAATATCGCAAAACAATATAAGTTGGTTTTGATAAATTTTCACATTTAACAAATAATATGTTAAGTTACTTTTTACATACGTTCTCTATCCTAAAACAAACTAAGATTATGGAATGTGAATAAACCAATTTAGTATGGGATATAATATTTTGAAACGTAAAGGTATATCGTTGAGACGAATGCGAAGTCACATTAGCATAGGCTTGAGAGCACAAGATCTAGGTAGAGGGCTATGAAAGAATTGTACAGGATATAGCCATATAGGTAGTGGTGACAATAGTGGATGGGAGACTTTGACTGGAGTGAGGAATTGTTACAGAATATAATCTCTTCTCACCTTTGAACCTTTTGTCAGTTCCTCGACGGTTAGTTGATCTAAGTGAAAGTTTAAGAAAAGTATAGGTGAAAGAAATTCAATAAAGAGAGGAAAAATGGGGATAGACAGAGAAAGTGTCAAATGTACTAGATACCGCACTCAAATATGTGGCAAACTTACCATTACAATCAACTACTCCTATATGACAAACACATTGTATTATATAATAGCAACTTTACTATACCAAATTTTGTAGTTTCCCAAACTTTGTACTACCAATTTTTTTTAGAAACAAAACACAAACGCTCTAGACTGGAAGACTAGACCGACATACTGAGATTAATGAATTCACCATGAACACCTTACTGTTGACGGGTACATCGTTTATCAATAAAAAATAATTAGCCATAAATAAAAGTACCAGTGTGAAATCTAGAACTTGAACTCGGTTGGATTGGTTACACCATAAGAAAACTAATTAGTTAAACTACACTCACTTCGCTTCGCTTGTACTACTAAAATTTGATAGAGCATGAAACCAAATGGCTAAATTCCACATCATCCATCCGCTGATTTCACATTTTAAGTTTGTAATGATTTGTCACGTTTTCTATGTCACGATCAGCTCAGCTGGATAAGCCTGATTAAACGCAAATAATGGGACTTCCACTAACGTCACCAAACAGATCAATTCATAATATATGAGAGGGCCTTCCCTAGGCCCAAGATCTGGAACACAAATTATACTACAATCTCTCCGTGAATGAATGAAATAATGATACGAGTGTCTCCTAGTGCCTCTCCAACCCAACTAGCCAAGTGACCCAGCAGCGTCGCGCAGATGTTCTGAGCTCACCGATGTACGATCGGATCGAGCCAGCAGCAGTGCCGGATCAATGGCCAGGGGAAAAAAGATCAGCTGATTATTGGTTCGTACATATTCACACTTATTCAGTCTTTACTGATGGATTTGATTCAACTAAATTTATGGTATAAATCTGATATTTATTTTTAATTCTAGCCACTGCATTCTTTCTTCCTATATTTTCTTTTTATTTTTGCATCAGAGGACAGCAACAATCAAACATTATTGATCCTGTATGTACTCGGCATTAACTTGGACTATACTGAATTATCACAAAAAAGGAAGATCTGATCATGGCCAACTATAGCAAAGTGCCTAAGATCAGATCCTGATCGATGGGAGACCAACACAAAAGTATACAACAATAGAACACACAACTGAATCTACAGGGTCAACTAAGTAATTCACCGGACACAAATCATCACATATTGACACACAAGAACATCTCACTAGGAGCAGAGATCAAACTTGGAGAGGCACAGAAACAAAGCTTCTCACTTCCTCAGAAGCCCTTCCCATGGTGAAGATACCTGGCCTTGTTACCAGCCAGCAATGGCCTGGAGAGCACCGGGAGCCCCCACTGCGACGCGAAGATGATGGTCGGGCAGATGTCGGTGGCGCCCTCCATCGTCGTCGCCCCGGCACGGCGGATCTTGGAGGAGAGCTCCGCCACCACCTTCCTTGGCAGGAGGACCGAGGTGATCCTGCTCCATTTCAGCTTCTTGACATGGAAGAGACAGGGGGTGGCTGCCGGCTTACCGTCGAGGGCCGGCAGCCACCGCCACCTGGATGGCCGCGGCGGGCCACCGTCATCCCGGCATTCCAGCCTCTGGTAGTGGAAGAAGCTGGCCGTCCGACCACCGATGCTGGATTCCTGCAAGCCCATCATTGTAAGCTCAAGGTGAGTTTAGCTGACAGACAAAGATATATATAACACTGCAAGATGAATGCAGATCATATGGAGGGATGAACAGTATGGTGCACATGGAATGACCCCAATGTGGTACAAACATTAGCAACAATGAAACATGAAGAAAAGGACAAGGATTGCTCTAATGTTTGATTCCTTATGCCACATGGGACTACCCCTGACCTTTCACATCCATGTCCCTTCCTCATGCATTCACAGCTGCTCCCTTATCATTTGTCGGAGAACATCCCCATCTTGTAATTACTGGAGAAATTTCCTGGCTGCATTGCATGACAGCATGGCATGAATGATTTCATCTGGAAATAAGGAAGGTGATGTTTTCGGGGGTACAGTTTTGTTTCTTGTTCCTTAATCTGCTGACTTGTCACTGTGTCAGTTGTCAGTGAATCAGTTCTGTCTGCCATTGGAATTACACAGAATCTTTGCAAAGAGTAATTAAAAAAGTGTTAGCTTTGTCAGAGCAAATATGAGAGTACAAGAGAAGACGATGTAAACCTCATAATGACAGAGAGAAGGGGATAAGTGGAAGAGATGCAATCCAGTGGTAACTATCAAGATCTCAGTAAAACTTACTTAGATGAGTTTTTCAAAGAGTAAAAGGATGTTCCTGTATTCAATATAAGACCTCTGAAAAGAGGTAGCAATTATCTCAGAACTGACCCAGTACATTAATAGAACAAGAAACACCTAAACTAAGGCTTCCACTCGACCAATATGGAGCCAGTACATGTTTGTGGTTTCTTCAACGATCACAAGCAGAATACTAGTCTATTTGAACGATAATTTCCAAACCTCCCGAACATTCGATGATCCATCAGCAACTTCAGCAAGTAGGTCGGACTGCATGGCCCCTAAATGACAACAAAATAACAGTGAAAATCTGCATAAATACCAAATGACATGCAACTGTAATACACACATAAAGTATCCAAAAAAATTTTGAATTTTAGCACAATGCGTTAATAACTAGTCTATAGCTTTGGCATGTGATATGTTAAGCATATGCATATGCATAGTTCAATGCACATATCCTCAAAAAGAGTGCTAAATTCATTCATTTAAAACATCTGCAACTGATGTCTGCCTTTAAAGAAACAAAAACATAACTCATACAATGGACGCTATCTTGGTATATAAGCTTAAAAGAAATAACATTTAGTGTTTCACAGAGGAAAATGTTTAACATTCATGCAACATAAAAAGTAGGTATTGCTCCAATCTTGCTAATTCAAAGTTTGCAAACAAGCATGTCATCAGGAGTAATATTATGGAGGTACATGGATAAATAACTCAATGACTAAAAAACTAGAAATAAATTTACCATCTTCTGTAACCAAGCGAACAAAGTGCCTTGTGCCACCACCTACTCCGAAGTAATGCTTTTTACCCGCCATGTAAACTATACCTCCAGGGTAGCGCAGGCACTGCAAAGTATTTTTGGTAAGTAAACTATAATAAACATGAAAAATTCAAGTGAAAAGAAAAATATCAGCAAAATGAATGTTGTGGATGCTGACCTTCTTGATGAGCCTGTAGAGATTAGGGAGGGAAGATACTGCATAGACAGTCTCAGCCATAAGGATGATATCATAGCCATTATACGCTGTATCGTTTTCATGACTGTTGGTTGATTTATCCAGGTCAGCATCTCCACGAAGAAGCAGACTGTCAATTTCGCTCCAGTCACCAGCAAAGAAACCAACACTACCAGATGTAAACTTTTCTTCAGATGATTCCTTCAATAGATTAGCCTTTACATTTGGTATGGTAAGGCATCTAAGGACCTCAGCATTGAAATCTTGGAAGTGGACTAGAACAGCACCCTGATAGTTTTAGCTTTTGAGAAATCAATAGAGTTAAGGAGTCATTTACAAAATTTCACAGGGGAATATAGATAAATACCTTAAGAATAGCATAGATACCAGGGAGGCCATGTCCACATCCTAGCTACAGAATCACAGAGATGGATAACTGTAAGCAGCAAGTTGGGTACATCTTCTGAGATTACAGCTACTTGTATCAAACTGAAGGACTTAATTATTTAGATATTCCACTACAGGCTGTTACTAACTATCGAGAGAGATTGAACCTCGAAAACCTGGTATTAGTGACTTCAACATAAACAGTTGAAAAAGCAAGTGGAAAATAGAATGTGATAAAGCTTTTTCTTAAAGAGTCAATGTGGTTGTGGACATACCTCGCTTTCCAAAAAGAAAAAACTCATTCTGGATATACCTTATTCTGTTATGACTCTTGTAAAGTCTTATTTCTTTTGTTATTACTTTAACTATCAAAACACAACACAGTTCTACTCAAAATATTTTTAGGCGTGAAGTATCTCACCTCCAATACACGTTTGCCTTCTAAAAGCAATCGGTCTTCTTTGATGTCTGAGTTTAAAGTCTTCACCAAGTCTAGTGAACCTTCCCAGAGCTTCAACCCACCTAGTGCACACATATATTTCCAAGCTTACAAAGACAAACAGTAAGAAATACGTTACAAGGATCAAAATGTATTCAGTCCTGACCTTCATATTTCCCTGGGACTAAATCAGAGTTTTTGACTCCAAAAACATCAGAAGTACTTGCTCTCCCCTAAAACAGTAAGGCAAAAAAGATAGATTAAGTTGAATTTGTGGGAGGATGTAACAATGACCTGTAGCATGCAGCAGAACAACTAGAGAAATTTATTGTAAGTTCCCTAGAAGTTATTGGAACAGCGATGACCGAGTGAACATTATGTTTGCACCAAACGTGGGTGTGTGGAATGTCACCATGCGCTCTGAGCATATGACTTACCAAGGGAGGATTCAACAAATAGCTGAGAGAACCATTTCAGTGCTAACAAATGTTCTTCATTTTTGTTTGGTTTTAGGCAGAGGGGAGGGAGGATAAGAATATTCCTCAATGTTTACATGATTACATCCGGTTTCCTCTGTTATTGTTTCCATTGGTGAAGCATATACTGAACATGATGGACAGCTATAATAATCTCATAATTTTCTCACTCAGCAGCAGTCCCAACGCGCGATGTTCAATGATAAACAGAACATTCTCGACAGCATGAGTTGTATGGTTAGTAAAGTAATAATTGCATTTATCATTCTAAGATACTAGATAACTATTAGCAGCCTAATAGAATCAGTAGCACTGCAGAGTCTTGCCGCGGCCACAGAGGCATTTCCACAAACACAATGTAAGCATTTCTGCAGACGCACCTTGTAAATCGACAGGGAGTCATCAATCACCACAGGCTCCAATTCGCCGGCCGCGACGGGCGATTCCTGCAATTCAACCAAGAAACGACCGAATCTCGCATCAAAGTAACCCGGTAAATACGTAGTAGGATAAGCCCACAAAAGAAGAAGAAGAAGAAGAAGAAAAAAAAAGGAAAGCGGGCGAGATATACCTCGGAGAGGAGCACCTCGACGGCTGGCGGCGGCGGCGGCGGAGGAGGTCCGGATGACGCGCTGAAGCCGAAGCCGAAGCCGAAGGAAGCGTTGGAGTTGGAGAAGGAGAAGAGAGGGGAGGAGGAGGCAGCGGCAGCGACGGTGTTCTTGGTCTCTTTGCCCTCCATTGTTTGTGCGTAGCTGTGGGCACCACCCTCCCTGACCCTGGGCTTTCAGCTCGAGCAGCGACGAGTAGGCTACACGGAGTACGGCCGCCGGCGGCGGCGGACGGGCGGCGCAAACCACGGCGGAACGGACAGAGGCGGCGGCGGCGCGGAGGCGAAGGGGAAAGCTCTATATTTGCTTTTTTGAAAACCTGGGCCTTTTGAATAGAATAGAAATTAATTTACAAATGAAATATTTAGGGTTCAAATTTCCTTTTTAAGATATTCATGTATTGTTGATGATTTATTTATTTATTAGAGTGCGATACAATTTATTTTTGTGTTCACTGTTATTATTATATTATAAAATTTGCGAGGAACAACATTATTAAAAAAATGCATAGGAGTCTAAATCCATATTTTACAAATTGTAAACTTGAAATTTTATGTTCTCAATGCAAGAATTTTTATTTACCTTTACTTGATAACATTGGCATTAAATCGACAATCTCATAAAACGAAGCTTTAAGGACATCAATTTAGTAGAAAACCAATCCAAATATAAATTGAAATATTTCAATAAAAATACTTAAATGGAATCTAATTACAGCTCATGATTTCAAACAAATTCCCACGGTAAATTTCACCTTAATTAAACCTTATAACAATAGAATAAGATTAAAATAGCTCACCCGTCGTAACGCACAGGCATTTTTCTAGTCCAAATATAAATTGAAATATTTCAATAAAAATACTTAAATGGAAACTATTTCTTGTTTTCAAACAAAATATTTAAATGAAAAAACTTTTGCAATAAAAACATAAATTGAAATATTTCCGGTAAAAAAAACTTCAAATTGAAACTTAATTAAATAACCCTGAAATAATCCCCCAACCTAAAGTCATGAACATCAGGCTATTTTTGTTGTGTCCTAGTAGTAGTGAATTTAAATGGAAAATTTTGCAATAAAAATATAAATTAAAATATTTCCGGTAAAAAAACCTCAACTTAAAACTTAATTAAATAACCCTAAAATAATCCCCCAAACCTAAAGTCATGAACATCAAGGTAATTGTTGTGTCCTAGTAGGAGTGGATTGAGGGACTTGATATTTATGCCACGGATGCTATAAAACCTCTCTCCCTCCCTCGTCTCCCTCTCCAAAACCCTAGCTTTCTCCTTCCCCTGCTTTGCGGCGCGCCAGCCAATCACCCCAAACCCCTCCCAGTCCCAGCGATGGATCAGCGCAAGGGCAGCGGCAGCGACGCCAACGGCGGCCTGGCGGAGGCGACGGCGTCGAGGCTGAGGTTCGAGGACCCCGACGAGGTCATGGAGGAGAACCCCGCCGCCGCCGCCGCCACCGTCGGGGCGGAGGAGGAAGGGGGAGAGGGAGGAGGAGGGGAGGAGGTGATCGGCAGCGACAAGACCAGCGCCGACTACTACTTCGACTCCTACTCCCACTTCGGTAAGCGGCGCTCGCGCTCGATCCGGTTTCTTGGAGATGCTGTACTGTTCCGCAGATTTTCTTTTTTGGGTGATGATAATGCTAATTAATAGAGCAATGAAGTTTTTAGATTTTTGTGCTGTTTTAGTTGTTAGGGGGAAGGTTCGATATCTGGTGCGAATTTGTGCGGCCTAAAATATAACGTATATTCATATGTAGTGTTGTTACTTGGATTGAGATATTATATTTTGGTTGTTCTTGACAGTAATGCTGTGAAAGATTGAAGGTTTTTTGCGTGTTAGCCGTTAAGTGCACCCGCATCATTCATTTAGTAGCAGGTTGGGTGGTAACAATTCATTTTTGTTTTTTGGCAATGGTGGTTGTATGACAGATTGGTATTTAGTTGGTTTTGTACTTCTGTTGTTGATTTATCAGGACTGCAATTGAACATAGGTTTTTTGAGATTCAGTTGGTCTTTTGGGATTTTCACTTTGCACTGCTGAATAATTTTAGCTTTTGATCTGTACAGGTCTTGAGATTTTCATTGATACTGTGTGCTCCGGTTTTGCCTAAAGTTATTGTGTAATTTATTACCTTGCGCAGTTTATAATGCTCCTGCTCTGTTTTGCGCAGTAACTTTATGAGGTGTACTTGTCTTGCAGGTATTCATGAAGTAAGTGAATCTGGAAGAAATCAGCCTCCTTTGTTGCACCACAGTTCACAAGAAACCAGTTTTCATCCGATTTTTTTGTGCACATTAACTTTAGGCAGATGATTTATGCATCTAAATGTGCAAACCAAGTGTTGTCGAGATGCCAATTACTTTATCGTGCTGATTGCAGGAAATGCTAAAAGATGTGGTTCGGACAAAATCATATCAAAATGTTATCACCCAGAACAGCTTTCTTTTCAAGGACAAAATAGTCCTTGATGTTGGTGCTGGGACTGGGATCCTCTCACTTTTCTGTGCAAAAGCAGGGGCTAAGCATGTCTATGCGGTTAGTTTTCTAACATACTTTTATGTTTTCATTTTAATGCTGTGATAGTTTTGTTGTACTAAATAAGCTATTTTGATGATCCCATTCTTGTTCTTTAATCTAAGACTGTTAGCCATTTGCTGCTTCACTATTTGATGAGGCCACAACTTTAGAATCTAGTTCGGCATGTTGTAGTTTCCTCCCATCTATCTATTACATGGAATATAATAGAATTTGGGAAGAGCAGGAAGGCTACTATTTTATTCACATGTATCAGACTTTAACGACTCTTTGCAAGCTGATACAAGCTTATCTGTTGGACTGTTATTGTGCTCTTCGCTAACAACTTAAAATGAGTGTTCTTTTTGGATGCTGATTATCCAAACTGTTGGTGTCCTGTATAGTTCCCATGGTGTTTAGGATTTCAAGTTACATATATAGTAGTTTGTTAGGATTATTTCGCATTACCTGTTCTTATCAAATATTGTTTTTTCCTCAAACTTGATATACCTGTTCTTCCATTTACAGATTGAGTGTTCTCAAATGGCAGATATGGCAAAGGAAATTGTGAAAACAAATGGATATTCTAATGGTGATTTCCTTTCTATCTTACTATCATCTATGATGACCATTCAGTATCATGCTTGTTTGACTTTGAGAAGTTGTTAATATCATTTCTATCTTCACAGTTATAACGGTAATAAAAGGGAAAGTGGAAGAAATTGAGCTTCCTGTCCCAAAAGTAGATGTAATAATCTCCGAATGGATGGGCTATTTCCTCCTGTTCGAGAATATGCTGAACACTGTTCTATATGCACGTGATAAATGGCTTGTAAGTGCTTATTTACCATTAATGTTCATGGTGTTTGCCAGTTTTGTAGGCTATGAAAACTAAACTTGGTTTGTTTGTTCTATGGACAATATTTAAAATTTTGGGGATATATAACTTGTATATTATGTTAATGTCATGCAGGCTGATGGTGGTGTTGTCCTACCTGACAAAGCTTCTTTGCATCTTACTGCAATCGAAGATGCAGAATACAAAGAAGACAAAATTGAATGTATGTAGTGCATGAGGAAAACGGCAAATGACTATTAGCCATGAATCCATTTTGCTTCAGAAGTTCTGTGTGTTATTTGTTTCTTTCTGGGTTATTAGAATTCTTTCTGATGGCATTGTTCTATATCTTGCAGTTTGGAATAATGTGTATGGCTTTGATATGCGCTGTATCAAGAAACAGGCAATGATGGAGCCACTTGTAGATACGGTGGATGCAAATCAGATTGTCACTAACTGCCAGTTACTGAAGGTACCAACGCTTTGAAACAAGTTAAATTTGCTTAGCAATTATTTGTTCAGGTGATATTTTAGACTAAATCTTCTTCCAATATATTTATTTCAGACAATGGATATTTCCAAAATGACACCTGGAGATGCGTCCTTTACAGTACCATTTAAGTTAGTAGCAGAGCGTAATGACTATATCCATGCTCTTGTTGCCTATTTCAATGTGTCCTTCACCAAATGCCATAAGATGATGGGCTTCTCAACAGGTTCATTCTCTTCTCAACTAACCATACAAATTACGCCCATCTATTTTCTTTTCTTCATGCTGTGTTGTAATTCTTGTATAATTTAATTGATGCAGGCCCAAGATCAAAAGCCACTCACTGGAAGCAAACTGTTCTGTACCTGGAGGATGTACTGACCATCTGTGAGGGGGAAACCATCACAGGCAGTATGACTGTTACACCGAATAAAAAGAATCCCCGAGATATTGACATTAAGCTCTGCTACGCCCTAAGTGGGCATAGATGCCAAGTGTCAAGAACACAACACTACAAGATGCGGTGATCAATGCGAGCTCAGCTGCCCTGCAATCCATTAAATTTTGGTTGACCAAGTATCTTGTTTCGCAAACTGTGCTTGTTCCCGTGATCCTGTATTAACATACGTTATTTATGTTCTTTGGGATCTAAGCATAAGTAGAAAATAGATTGAACTGGCCTGCCGATATGAGATTTGCTATTTTGCAAAACTATGTTGTCTTGCTGGCTGGTGGTATTGGTAATGAATGCGTTGACAATGATGATGGCAATTGCTGTGTACGTTTTATGAAAATGGATCAATGACGTATTGCCAGTTTGCCACACAATTCATGCTTGAGATTTTCTTTCATTCTACTGTTGTATGGTGACTCTTCTTTCCTGCATTTACATTTCAATTTATTTGAGAGCACATCTGCAAAGCTTGCTGTATACTGGATGAAACTTGTTGGAGTGGTGGTTAGTTAAAAATTAGCAGACCTGAAATCACATGGTCAATGCCATCTTTGTTTAACAAATATAACAGAGGTAGTTTGCACAGAGCCATACTAAAAGTTAATCATTTACTCCTGGAATCTTGGAACATGTTATTCCTGAACAGGTGATGACGGAACCAGTGAGATTCATTGATTGAGTATGCTGCATCAGAAAAAAAAGAAACAGATTGAAACAGATCAGATGTACATGCTAGAACAAAAGCGAAGTAATCAATGAAAAGATGAACACTTGCTCGTAGAGGTAGGCAGCAATGCCAAGAATGATGCAAATCAAGATAAGATCAATCATGAAGTTCCTGGTCGATCGAAACTGCAGGAATGACATATTTGTCAGCAAACCTAAGATCACTGGCATTGGATTTGTTGATAAACTATTTATGGTTCAGAAGAATCAATTGCTCACCTGGTTGACCGTTTCTTTTAGCCTGACATTAGTCTTTCTGAGGTCTTCATTAGATTTATCCACCTGCAAAATTTGTGCTTAATTATGTGTTCCCATCTACTTAAACCATAACGGTCCGTTTGGTTGGAGGGAGTTTTTAGTAGGGATTGGAAGTTTAGAGGGATGAGACTATTAGAGAGACATAGGAATTTTGGTGGGATGGGGATGGGGAATTGAGGAAGGAACTCCCTCCTTTTCAATACCTGGGTAGGGGCAGATAATTGGGAGGGAATTCCTTCTTTACTTTATCTAAGCAAATCTCAGCCATCCGTTTTTATTAATGACCTAATCTCCAACTAAACTCCCTATCAATTCCATCACCTCTACCAAACAAGATATAAGGATTAAAAATCAAATTCCCATCTTAATCTCATCATCAATTCCCTCGTGTAAACTCCCAATCCCCTTTCTTCGAGTTACCAAACAAGCCGTAAGAGATTGAGACACTATGTGAATGGTGCAAACTGACCTTGTTGTCAATCTCATCCATCATAGGCATCTGCCTGTTCAGTTCCTGCAGGGTTACACGCACAATTTCAGCTCTAATTTTGTCACTCAGAATGCAGAAAAATTGGGGCCATACGCAGAAACATCATATGCATTAGCTACAATACAAACCTCGTTCATGTCCTCTGCCAGGCTTTTCAGTGTGTCCAAACCTTCAGAGATGAACTCCAGCCCTTCATCCTGTGCATTAAAATTTTCAGCTCAGCTGTCACAAGTTCTTTTAAAAGTGAAATGAATAAACTGAATCGTGTTTTCAGGTGATTTATTTTGATATGCGAGTTCAGTCCAGAAATGTGTTTGATCAAGAGAATATTCGGTTCCATGGACAGGCACAAACTTGCCTGTTTGGTTCGCCGCATTTCGTACTCTCTTCTGAACTCCTCCGATTCTTCGGTGGTTTGGAAGTACGCCTCGTCCAAATTTTCAGCTACATTTTAATCAACACCACATGAGTACAAGACAAGCACAAATTTAGTTCAAACCCTGAAGATAATCAGTTCAGAAAATGTTAATGTGCCATTAATTCTTGTCACATTATTTACTGTTCTTATAACAAATTCTTGCCAAATTCATAGGAGGATTCTTTGTTTACTAGTACCAAGGATGGAAGACAAATACCAACTTAAGGAAAACAACAAAACCTGAAGAATCGAACTTGATCCCCGGCCGGACATTCCCGCCGCCGTACTGATCCGCCGCGCCACCGCCGCCGTCAGGGATGGACTGGATCCTATGCGGCAATGCCAAGACCAGGTCGCCCCGCAGCGCCTCCTCCGGCGAGAGCCCTTTCACCTGCATCGCCGGATTTCCCATCAGCATTGCCATCAATTCTTCTTTGATTTGATCAAATTGAAGTCAAATTATGTGACAGATGGGCAATGGAGAAGACTAATGACGAGAATGCTTAATGGGGATATATTGAATGATTGATCAGTTCCGGTCACCTTCTTGGCGGCGAGCTTCCGGAGCTTGACGACCTCCTCCGTGAGCCGCGCCTTGGTGCGCCGCACGTCGGCGTTGAGCGCCACCGCCGCCGCCCGGTTCGTCTCCGTCGCGGCCCTCTCGGATCTCTGGAATTTCGATTCACATTTTCAGAATCCGAGAACCAAATGTGGTGGAGATACGACGATCGAGGAGATGATCGATCGACCTCGACGGCGGCGTCGATGTCGGCGTCGACGGCGGCGTACAGCCGCGAGAACGGGTCGCCGGCGGCGCCATTGCGGTGCTTGTCGGCGTCGTACTTGTCGTACTTCTTGCAGATGGCGTCCACCCGGATCAGCACGTCGATCATGCTCATCTTTGCCTTATCCCTAGTGGCCGGGTTCGCGCCGTCGTCGTGATTGCCACTGCGGTGCGGCGAGCGGTCTGTACGGAGAGTTTAGCACGGCGGCGAAACTCCCGGTAATTTATTTATTTTCATTATACTAATTATTATAAAAAAATAATAAATATATTATATTTATTAGCAGTTGCGAAACCAGGATTCAAGGATAGGGGATTGGGAGACAGCACAGGGCATGACATGTAACAAGGGAGGTGGTACATCTATATCTATACCTACTTAAAAAATACATATGGCTTCCGGTGGGCTTTTCGTGCGTCATCTCGAATACTAATCACATCCGCCGTATCTATGAGTCTTTGCTCTTGAAGCTAGGGTTTTATCGAGTTCTCCGGGTTAGAAATAGTGTTGAAATTCACATGATTTCCTTTTAGGACATTTGGGGATTTCATGGAGGAAATGAAGAGGAGGATTAGGGGATTTCGTTTTCACATCTAATTTGGTAAGGAAGCAACTACGCAGCTGGATTCAGAGAGGGATGCGGCTCCGGTAGCATCGTACGGACTCGGGTGTTTCGAGCGGCCTGGGCTGGCCCGGGTGCTGGGCTGAGCACGAGAGAAGAAGGGGCGGCCCAAGAGGGAGAAGAAGAGGGAGGAGCAAGCGGGCCAGCTTGGGCGAGGAGGAAGAAAGAACGGGCCAATTTTAGCCTAGACTTAGGATAGGGTTTTTAGTTTATTTTTAGTTTAAATTAATTACTAAAATTATCGTTGTATTATTAAAATTAGCAATTGATCTCTAAAAAATCCGAGAAAATTCTAGATATTGTAATTAATCATGAAGAATTTAATAGAAATTAAATCCAACCATGTTATTTTCTTCCCACACTTACTTTATTTGTAAATTAATTTAATTCTATACCTACCTATTTTTTAAAAAAATACCCAAGTATTCCGGAATATTTTCGTGTGTTGCTCGTTATTACGTCATCCTGCTTCCTCATACTCTTCGCTTCGTCCATTGTCCATGCAGGAATAGGAGAGAACACGATGGTCGATTGGTGCGTGCATCCATGCTGGAGTAGGAGAGAAACACGTCCACACAGATGATTCGCGTCCAGATTGGTCTTGCGGTTGCCCGCGCACAAGTCCGAGCCCGTATCATGTGCACGAGCCATGCACGCTCAACAGTACAAGGCCCACTCCAAATTTTGTTTGGCAAAACAGTGGTAATTAAAATTCAATAATAATTAGTTTTTAAGTTAAATGATTACATAATCTTACTTTGATGGATAGTGTCCAAATCCATATGCAGTTGATTACATGTGCTTTCCGTTTCCTGGGCTCTTTTTGTAATGGAGGGTTCGACGCCTGTGAACCGGAAGAGAGAACCCATTAAGTTGAGTATGGCCTCTTCTTGTATTCTTATGCATACGCTAAAATAAATGTGTCTGATCGATTGGTTTGACATCACATGAAATTGGGTCAAGGAGTTAATGTATTGCGCATGTTAGGATTGAATTGAACTAACTATATTTTCTTTGATGTATTATGTTTTGCGATATTTGATGCAAACTTTAATTTGCGACTATATTATTTGTTAGCTTAGTGAAGATATCACGCATGTGTCGTGCTAATATGAGAGCTGATTTATACTTTTTTGAATAAGTTAATTGGTAAATCCACGTAAAGGATATGCTTTGTTCAAATCATGACGAAACTTAAACCCTCCAAATTTGTTGTTTGCTGTAATTTTTTCTTCCGTTGCAATGCACGGGCATTTTTTTCTAGTCTGAAAAAAATTATCTGGTTTCCCATATGTATAATATAGCACGTATAATATGCATTCTTTATTATCGAGAGCTAATTAATTTACAATGGTGAACATGTATAATATGACTACGTCTATTAACTCAAGTCTCCAACATCTCATAAGCACCAAAATAAGGCAACATATATGTTTAGTGTTTTGCCATGCAAAAGAAAATTGTATCTCAAGCAAGACTTTATCTTGGTTAACCACACTTAGCAATTTTAATGTGACTGGCTGAAATTATAAACAAGAAGGAATCACAAAATCGATTATTGATTATCGATGATTTCATTCTAAGATTCTACATATTTGGGTAGAGGATTAGGAAAACTAACGGCAAGAATTTAGTAGCCAATTAGTGGCATCGCGATATTGAGAAAGAACAAAACCCTATACCCTAAACATAACGCTTGGTAGATGGGCTGTGCCTGCTCTGCTCCTGCTCGATCGGGGCCTCAGGCGCGCGGCCGCTCGGTGGACGGCGGCGGCGTGGTGAGACGTATGGGTGGAAACGGTACAGAAATTTTCCGGATTACGGACCTATTTTCGAAAATGGAATCTATCGGTCGGGAATTTTTTCAGAATTTTTCAGAAACGGAAACGAATTTGGAAATATTTTCTCGGAAACGGAATTGATAAGTGCAGTTTCAGTCGGAACTCGAAATCAAAATCGGTCGGAAACTGTCGTAGGCTCTCCAGACCTTCCATTATATTTGAGAGATAAAGTGAATAATTCAAGTCATCAAACAAGCATAATGAAACATCCGACGCCTCGAGAGAGGAATATTGGAGACATTGTTAGGCCCTTAGCCTGCCAGTCAACTTCAGCCTGAGATGTGCCCGTCAAACCACTCGAAGGCGGCGACCAGATGTGTTGCACATTCAGGAGACTTGACAAAAATGGCTAAAGATCTACAACCTCTCAAATATTCCTAACTCATACTCATGTGAATCTAGTTCCTAGGATGTGCACTAGATCCACACTTTCATCTTAAGCATGATTATACATAGCAAACATAATTAAGATGAAAGAAACTTAAGACTTGCAACAACTTAATAATTACATAGGCTGACCGGCCAAATAGACTTATTAGAGAACAGCGGAAGCTTGACTACCCAATCACAAGCACACCGACTAGGGGTTTACCCCATTAAGTTCTCATCCTAGAAGAAACAATCGGAACCCGCATCACTCAAAGATTAAGACTAAACCTGCAAACAAAAGGTTATATCAACAGCAAGAGTCAGCACATTAACCAAGTTAATGTACTGGCAAGCACAAGTCAATCCTACCATACTACATGTAAGGCATATATTCAAAGGAAGGCAATATGTAGTTCATTTTCAGCATAAAGCAAGTTTTGTTTCGCAATTCTTTTGTAAAGGAGTTGATGCTTCAATTAACAAAACAAATTTTAAGTTTCAATATTAAATTCATCATAATTCCATCATAATCAATCTCTTCTTGTCATCCTTTGACAACAAGTCATAATATATCACCTCACACACACAACTCAACACATCTATCAATTTCAAACCAATGTCACATGATCACATTTTTAAAACATAGTCTATACTCATGACACATCACCAAAGCGCTCATGACCGTGAGCACGGCTAATCGATTAGTTTAAAGAACTTTGCAGAGTTTGTACAGCTTTACCCACATGATATGAACTCTCTAGTTTGTTTTGAGTTTGCAAGACTCCACCACACTCTTCATTTTGAATGTGATCTAGAGGTCATAACGAAGCCTTTACACTACTTAGAGCCTAGCCTTGCACCAGCACGATACGTGTTCCTCCATCCTAGGCATACTTGGAACATACCTAGAACCATTAAGTGGCGGGCCCACGCCTTAAACTTAACGCCGTGGTGGCGGACATGACGGGAACCCACCACGTGGCACAATATCGTTGTATTGGACACGCTTAGTCACCTAAACTACCACGTCGGGGTAAATAGGAAGCTCCTCTGAATTATACGAACTCATACAACCGGCCTACCAGAATGCAAGGCTAGTCCTAAATAGATTACTCAGCTTAGGCCATCCTATACTAGCACATGTGGATGTACGAATAACTTTAAATGGGTGACACAAGTTCGGTCCTTATGGACTTGGGCAAACACTCCCCCTATCGGTATGCAACTAATACCATATGCACACCACTTGCCGCCCAAGTATAAAATCACATTTTACACATTTTAGTTCGCAAATACCCATCATATTCGTTTTATTCCAGCAAAGGTTCATGTATCGAAATCATATTTTAATTATAGATGGAATGAGCATTTGCATAGTTCTAAGCATGGCTAAGCAAGTAGTTGCAAATAGAGCATATATAAAGCCATTTGAGCACAAAGAGTGTACTCTAACCATTTCTAGGGGTTCAAACAGCAAGAGGATTAATTATTCAAGGTGGGGTATACAACAAATAGGTCATAACTACCTTAACCCAATTTCAAATACCGATATAGTCTAAGTTCACATGCAACTTTGCAAACAAATATTTTCATTCCTCAAATCATGGGATTCAATGTGTTCAAAGGATGGGAGGAGAAAACTTGTCTTGATCAGAGAAATGTTAGCACCTAATCCACTCCTTCACCGATTATGCAATTATCTAGATAAAGGACACGTTATGCAATTAAACACCGAAATAGCTGAAAATCCAAAATTCTCTAAAATGCATGATTTATGCACAGTGATTAGGTACTGGTCTAAAATGAATTTTAGGTGAAAGAATTTTTATTTTATCTTATTCCATTAGGGAGTTATGAATTTTAGAAGTTTTATCGGTTTATAGTAGTATAGTCTTAGGTAGTGTTATGAAATACTTTTGTAAAGTGATTTTTACTAGATTAGACTTCATAGGGGTGTAGAGATGTGTTTTATAAGACTAACTCATTTGGTTTCACAATTTTTAGAGTTACAATGATTTTCTTATAGATTTTACAAATTACAACGTGTTTTAGGCATATAGTGTTTTATATGTGCATGACTCTCAAGTTGTAGGTTCAGAACATGCTACTTCCTATTTAAGTTGAATAAAAGGAATAATTTGGTTAACTAAAACTGACGGAGCTCGTGGCTCCTCACCGGGAGACCGCGCAGGCCCCCCTTTGCCAGTTCGGCCGGGGGCTTAGGGTGAAATCTCAAGCTCTCGCTCTCCCTCTGTATCCGGAAAGATCGTCTGCCCGCAAGA